AACTTGTAATTCAACGGGCTTATTTACAGTTATACGAGTTTTATTCAAAGGTTCGAATTATACGATGTGCTTCCACGTATGTCAATATGGTTGAGTTAACGAGATGCCGAAATAAAATCGTGCACGTTTACTGTTAGATGTAAGAAAATATGATACATTACTTATTAAAAAGTAAATCTTGAGACTAATGTTTTATGGAATTGGGATGCTAATCGTTCCTGAATAAAATACGTAACATTCAAGCTTGGTTCGAAGCATTTCAGCACCAGCCGGATGATGCGTGCTTCCTTACATTGTTTTCACATCCAAACCAGTTTTTTCCAAATGGCCCCATGCATTCGGCCAATAAGGCCTTGATAGACGCGATAGCTACTTCATGACTAGAATGCAGATAAAGAATCCTGGAGATGCGATAAAAGCAGATCCCACATCTGCTCGAACCTTCCGATTGAAGAATATCTCTAGAACTCTATTGTAATTATGTGCGGTTCTCATCAGTACCTCTCCTACCAGATTTGGTAACGTTTTGAGCTACTAAATTTAGTAAGGGAGATAGTTTAGCACTCGGGGAGGTAAATTACCTCCTCCAATATATTGTCAAATTTGGCATCTACTACTAAATATGGTAGGGGAGGTATATTATTTGCTATCGCTATAAGACATACTGACAATTATAAGTGTAAACGTTTATTCGAAAGACATAGATAGCTATTGGTATCGAGATTTAACAATCTGAATGTGGTATATGATGCGTGATTGCGTGATGTCATCAGACAGTGTTTCCTAGACTCTGAAGAATTTTAGATGGTCCTACACAAGAAATCAAGAAAACAGTGAAATTACAGAATGGCGACAAAGGTAACCATTCTATTCAGTATTATTAGTATCTGTAATTTGATGAATATGGCCTTTTTAACCAAGACTGCTTAAACAGAATCGCATTGGGTCGAGAAGACGCATTTTGGAGTCGAATAACGAGAGTCTGGGATTATGCTTACGAACAATTGCTCGTTCCAGATGATCCACGAGCATTAGGTTTACTTTTGTGGTTTGTCGCCGGTGTTAGCACCAATCAGGAGAAGAGCACGTTCACTTAATTGTTGATCCTATGTCTGTAACTAGCCATGGCCTTTATTAATAGGCATTTTAAAAGAACGATCGGCAGATACTAATACGTAGTAGTAGTAACCCAAATTACATTCCGCGTCCGATACTTCGGTCACAAAGGCAATCGTACGGAATGCTAATATGAATGTGAATGTGAAGGCTATTCGCCAAGAAAAACAGTCGTTTTTCCGCACAGCTCGTGTTTTTATTCAATAAACGAACTCGCACCCGATACATTTCCAAATCTCCCAACCACTTGAAATACTTCATAGTCTTCTACTTGACTATCATCATACTCAAATATACCACTTGGATATGAAACAGGTTTAGCACTCCACATCTTATCACCAATACTAAAATCGGGTCCAGCTCCGAACGCGGGCCAGTTTCCCTCACTACAACACACGGCGTTCTCTGCATCCTTCACCCTACCGATACGAGCATTATCAAACGATTTGCCATCTCCAAGAGAGAATACGAATGCTTGAGGAGCATATTGATACCCTTGTTGCTGCAATGACCAATCAAGAGGATTATATCCACCAATTATTTGTGAAGACACATTTGCTATAATGAGAGTAGGCCCTCGCATCAAACACTTCTCATAAAATATTGACGACGAGAATCCATCAACAGATCCTCTTAATAATAACTTAAAGTCGTAAGGTATTTTTCTCGACTGCACTGCAGTGTCGTCGATTCCATCTATCCAATTAGCTAACAAACTACCAAAAATTGGTTCTATAATAACTGACTCGAATAACGGAATCCTCGGTGGGAGTATTGTCGATTCTACTGGCTTATCTGGGTCTAAGTAATGGGAAATTAGATCTTCAAATAGACCTTTAGGAAGAATACGCTTATAAGGACGAACTTTACGTGAGAAATCCGCAGAAGGAATATTAAAGAATCTTACAAGTGGAACATATTGATATAAAGTAGCCTCAAGTAATGACCACTCCTCGTCTCCCCATGTAGAGATATCACTAGACAATCCCGGATTTTGTGCTATTCCCCATTGAAGCAGATGATCCCATATTTCAACTTCTTCCAGACACAGATCATTTCGTTTTAGCAATAGAATTAAAATCGATTCATCTAAGGATGTAAACGATGGTGATGAGAAAATGATAGAGGGTTTCTTGCATATTGTTGCGAGACAGTAATCGCGGAGAGATTTGCATGCTGCGTGCTGAAAGACCAGCTCGAGAATTTCGACTGGGTTATCATCTAGCCATGTGGTCTTTTCGGTTATCAGGTATGTTTGTATATGATTGATCAGAGTATGTAGATCTAATTCGTCGGCTGCAACGACGATTTTCAGGATTTCGGAACCTTCCTGGTCAGCAAGTGATATTGTACCTGTATATAAATATCTGAGAAGGAACGAAAGGCGCACAAGATAAAAGGCTTTGTTACTAAGCAGCAAATAAAATGTGTGCCAATACGACCACCTATTTAGACAACTATAGACAGATGGACAAAGAAATAGAAGTATTTACTAAGAAATCGGGTGCTTTTAGAATTTCCAAAGATTGGAACGATTCGACTTCACTTTGAGGTTGTTGTGTCTGCATTATTATATCACTCCAGATATTTTACAACCTCATTCATAAACCTTGAAACAAACACATACTCAATACATCTGCTTCCCGAACATTGATTTCCAGTATTCTCATTCCACGTAGAAACTTCCCATTTACCAAGTTCTCCATTCGATCCAACGTAATACTCACCTAAGAATCTTAGCAAAAACATTTCCACTTATATTTGGCTTTCTAAAGACAAACATTCCGCCTTCCTTCCTGGCCCAATCGTTCGACAAAGCGCTTCTGAAATAGGAACATCTTGCACGAAGTACCAGATTATGCGCTTTGAATTCTTTTGCTTCGGTCGATTCATCACCAGCATAGATAATTACATCGTAATTGTCATCATCCTCAAACAATTGCGCCCAGCAATTCGAGACATCGAGAAGGAGATTAGACATTGAAGTGATGAAAAAGAAAGAGTTTGGAATGTTGGAATTTGAATGTATGAGGTGGAGTGACAAATTACATTACCCAAGAGTAGAAATGATCTGTAATTGGCGTTTCCCAGGACACAGTTACACACTTGGCAAACAATTGTCAGGGATCAGTATTGGGTACAAACCGTATATGGAAAGCACGTGAAAGACCCATAATAATGTAATAAAGGTCGAGGCAGAAGCGCGAAGCGATTGATACTATTACTATTACTATAGTCTCATTGAAAGTCATAGAGTTGACCCTATGTATAAAAAGTTCAAAATAGTGTATGTTAAAGACTTTTTTGCGTTAAATGGACGCTACCATGTACACAGTAATCACGACTCACGAGCTAGCGTTATCCGTAGTTAGGCAATAAAGTTCCATATTAATTTTGATCTAATTAAAGCTTACGTTAACTCACAACACATCGTTGATCAGCGAGCAGAATTAATCGTTTTTCGTCGCTAACACGATCTTCGCCCGTGCAACAACTACAGATGTCAGTACGCATGTTAGCATATACAGTACAGTATACTGATATGTAGCGGCTAACATCACTTAATTTCCACATAAACTAACACTCCAATCCCCTCAACTAGAAAACAAAATCCAAATAAGCAACCCTGCACCAATTTCGCACCATCCATAAGTCTAGCGGCTATCCACAGAGATAGAAACAAATTTCTTGAAAATCAGCTCATAATCGATACCGCCGATAAAATAATATCTCTTTTGTGTAGGTTTACTCAGGTTCAGTGGTGACGTTTGGCCTGACATTTTTTACATTGTACATATTAATATTCACTTTTGTGACATTTAAACTTTTACGGGAAAAAACCTTATTATGTCACACAAACCAGAAGTCACATGATGGATGCCGTAATAAAAGTTCTATTCATACCTAACAATACATTGTATCTCCAAGATGGAGCTCGATGAAAGACCAATTCTTTATTCCTATTGGCGATCTTCTTGTTCATGGCGTGTAAGAACAAGTCTCCTTTGGAAAAATATTGATTATAATACGATACCAGTGAACTTGCTGGTTAATGAACATGTGGGTGATGAAAGGACGATTTTGACATATTCCCACGAGTACCAAATACTAAAGATCGATTTCATTTACTCAAGAAATCAGCGGAATATACAGCCATTAATCCAATGCAAGAAGTTCCTACACTTGTTATCGATGGCAATACACTCACACAGTCTCTTGCCATTCTTGAGTATTTAGAGGAAACTCACACAGAAAAGCCCCTCCTACCTAGTGATCCGTTGACACGAGCAAAGGTGAATGTACATTGTATATCTTGATGAAGGAGAATCCAGCTCCATTGATACGACCTTGTTTTTATAGGTGAGGTCTCTTGTAGGTGCGATTGCCATTGATACTCAACCAGCACAGAATTTGCGGATTCTTAAATACGTTGGAGATGAAAAATCACAGGATTGGGCAAAACATTGGATTACTTGGGCCTTCGAAGGTCAGTACATATGATGTATTTTCAGTTGTTGATGTCACATTCATGCTCAATGATTTTGTTGTTTTTCCATTGAACAGGGATTGAGAAGCAGCTTTCGAGCACAGCCGGGAATTATTGTGTTGGAGATGAAGTGACTCTGGCTGATGTGTGTCTGGTGCCTCAGGTATTTAACGCGAGAAGGTATCTATATGCATTTCATGATCCGTAAGTAATGATCTGAAGACATTCATGTGGCCCTGAATAATGAGCGTATGTCATACAGGTGCGGAGTAGATATGAGTAGGTTTCCGATTATTTCGCGTATAGATGCCAACTGCGTGAAACTCGAAGCATTTAAGCTATCTGATCCCTATGCGCAAATCGATTGTTCTGAGCCCAAAGGCACATAATTTAATTATATAAATTTGTTAGTAGTGTGAAATGCAAATCGTCATAAACGTAAGATTCTATTCTTTGATTGTCATTACTATTTAGTATGTCAATAAAAATGACTTCCTATTGTTTTATTATGGTCCGATAGATACCTCGAAATTGATCGCTATCAAAGTTTTGTGCGACTTTAATTTATAACCATATTTACATAGTAATAGTAATAGTATATTCTTGACTTGGTTTAAAATGTCTCTATTCACTAGCCAACGAAGTGCTACTCCTTTAACTGAAAACGAAAAAGCAATGCCTTTTAACACGCAAAATACTTTTCAGAGGAAATTCCTCATCTAAAAATCAAAATTTCATACTAAGCAAGCGTGTTGCGTGTTATTCATAAGTGTAAAATTGGCGCATTTACAAACCACAAAAAAATCGGCTACACTTTTACGTGAAAAAATTACTAATGCAAACGAAACCGGAACGAACGCCCGCTCAACATCAATTCTCGGCAATAACTTGCTGAGAATGGGCTTTCTAAATGGAAAATTCTTCGTTTGTTGCATACATTAGGTTCTATTACGGCCATGGTGGAAGTAGGAATTTAGGCATTACAACTCAAAACTTTATAATTAACAACATTACAACTCCGAAACACAGAACACCTTTTGACAGAATCTAGCTAGCGCTTATATTAGTGATAGGGGCAATTTTGAACCCTGTCGCAGAACTTATCAAGGCGCGAAAAATCATAACGCATATTGTGACAGCAGGACGCAATTTCATCGACCCTGCATATTGTCCCTGAACCTCGGTATATGAATTTAATGCATAATTGTAAAACTTTGTTGGCTTATTGCAAGCAATTCGATATTGAAAATGATCAGTTCGAATGAAAGGATAATAAATGCATTATCGTTCTTAAGTCTCCTGAAGCGACTTTCGTGAAGAAGGAGCTTAATGTTTGTAAACGTAGCGATATGGAAGCTGGTTCTACTATAAGACTTCCGCTACGATATTGAAATCTATAATGAAATAAAGCTTAACAACGAACATATTAGTTCGATGGAACAATAATTATTTGTTGAGAAAGGTCATGTTTAAAAACAAAGTGAAGGCTTTCGTAAGTAAGTACGTTCGCTGAGAACAAGAGTTGATATGTTGTGTTAATATTATTACTTGTATCAAAACGAGGCGACTCTTTCCGTCGGCTCGTAACGTAGTGGCTTCTCGGTGGCAAATATTTATAACCAACATGGGAAAGGCTATGTACCGATGGTGTTAAGTGAAAGAGAGATATTACTATCTCTAGTATTTACTCGTAAGAGAGAACCGTTCTAAATATAATGGTTGGATGACTACGACATTAAAAAAGAATTTAAGATTGAAACCGGTTTGCTTAAAGCAAATGGCATGTTTCTCAATTTTGCAAACGAACCGATTCGCGTCCATCTATAAGTCTATATCCCCAAGGAAAACTCAGACTGACATGTCACAAACACGTTCTCTCCCGACGACGTAGTAGAAATCGCCGGCGCAGTGACCGACGTTTGTGAAAACGTAACATTGTACGTATACAAATTCTATAACCAAAAATATAAGGTAAAAGGGGGGTATTGTGACGAATTATTAATATTGTCAATTTATAGCAGATATTCATAAGGCATATCTTCTTTTCAAATAAACGCATAACTCAGACTCGTCTCTCCAAAAAATAAACAGATGAGTTGTTGCATGCGTGATTCTAAGTAGCAAACATTAGTGAGTAAGTGAAAAATTTGATAGTAGCCCGTGGGCATTGATGTTAAACATGGAAAACGGTCGTCATAATCCTGTCTAATATACTAATAAAAAATGTTGCAATGACCATTTTGTATTAGTATTTGACAATTTTAAATAATAGAAGTTCTTATCGGCCTTGAAAACGACATGATTTAACATTATCGTTACTTTCAATATTATCGTTACAACACAAATTTGTACTACGTGAACAACAGGCGCGTTACATTCATAAGTTGCATTCATAACTTTTTTCGTGTAGTTACGACATCCTCACAAAAGAACAAGAAAAAGAAGATATAACCATGATATGACAGCATAACATAACCGAATAATAGCTTTATATCCACTTTAACTTGGAATAACCTTCTGTACAATACATATTTACCGCAGAGGCGCAGCCCCCCCCAAAAAACTATTTCTAAAAATGAGCAGGTCTCTCAAACGGTTCTACTACAGCACATTCTATTGTTTTTAACATCTCGCAGTTGTCAGCGTCCGTTAGTCATACAGTCCCATCTCAGTTATCAATTATATCCCCATGTTAGAACCCAAGCTTTTTGGGAATATATCAGAAGTGGGATATAAAGCGTTTCTACTGATTTAGCGCAACTGAATTACTGTCATTTTTGTTGCAAGTCTTAGCTGTCAGAAGTGCTTGTCTTCCCACCTTTACTTTCTTTTCGATAAATTTCTTCTTCTGAAGTATATCTGTATCGATCAAATTATGTATATTAATATGCTCTTCAATAGCCAGTTTCCCCAAATTAATTAAATTCTGCTGGTCTGAGCTATCCGCGTTACCGTTAATCATGGCTTGTACTGATCAACATATTCCGGTATTCGTCGCATAACGCGAACCTTTTCTTTTTATTTACCTTTTGGCAACAAGGAATCATTGTTTAGTATGGAGATGCAAATTTGATTGGGAGGATGTTTGCTTTTTTTTTTGTACATTACCACTAAGTGAGTTAAGAGCTATTGATTCGAATAAAGAACGTACTCTGTATGTGTGGTTGAACGTAAAAGTATGAATTTATAACGCATAGTATACTAGGAAACGGAAACCGTAAAGCCCGTCGCTTATCATCAGGGTAAATTATTAAAATCTTTTTCAAAAAAGCGCCTGTATAATATTCATTTTACAAAGGCACCCGACGCTTTGAGCGACGAAATTCTTTATACGCGATAATCAGCGAGACAACTACAGTTATCAGATAGACTTTTGTCGAGAAAGAGAATAAAGGATGCTACGATTTGAAGAAACACAATGTTACTTATCGTGATGACGTCTTTGTATTACCAGCGATATACAATATAGCACAACTACTCCTACTTTTTTCCTTTTAGTCTGAATAATTTTTTCTCCTCCTTTGTTCAGAACGATGTCATCAGTCTTGGGGGCCCATGCAACAATCGACAGTCTGATTCAGTCCTCCCTCGAAATCGAAACTAAACATGTTAAATGGTTTTCCAAGGAGGACATTACCGACATAAAGCCGAGTCAATTTGACAACGTTCATTACGCTATTTTAATTTATAAGCGAACATGTTATGATATAGTTAGGGAAGTCAAGATAATGTTGCAATTAGTCGGAAGTAGCGAAGAATGTACACCAACTTCCGTGAGTACATTCGCTAGAATATACTCACTTCCGACGCACAAGTACAATGACGCTGATTAGTTCAGAAGATATTCCGTATGGCTTAGCAATCGCAACATACTTTAAAATTGTGAAAGAAACTTTAAGGTTTGTTCGTCAGGCATGTTTCGTAAAAAATCATAAAATTCATGAAAAGAAGTTTTTTCCAGTGAAAGTCAAATGGTTTTGCCACTTGAAGATTTGGAAATTTTTTTACCGTCCTTGTCAGTTAATAAAGGAAAAGTAAAAGTAAAAGCAAAAGCTTTATTTTCGGGCCCTCATAAAAAGGTTTAAGAGTATGGGTTAAAGGAACCACCGTAATGCGACTACTTTTTTTATTTTGGATCAATAAAAGCATAGTGTTTGCAATGGGAAATGTATAACAAAAATGTTCATATTCCTGTTTAATCGAAACACTGCGATCTATAAAGAGACATTTGGTGTTCATCTAATACTTAATAACAAACAATGACAAACAATGAGTTTCGAATGACGGCAATTCAATTTTTCGTCAAGATTAGGGTTATAAACTTTTCGTTGTCAAATTAACCTGCCCGAGTGTTTTGTCCCAAACCCCATTTTATGTAGACATTTCCCTACTTCTAATTGTTTCCGAACGAAATATTCCTAAAATCCCTTGTACCAAGCTACGGATACCCGCTAAAGGATTATATAATATATGACGCAGTAGGCATGTTATAAGTCACGTTGGTGTGAACATGTATTATTGTTCGCGTTTTGTAAAAGCGTGACAGAACCAAAAAGGAAAAAATCAGAGGTAAACGTATAAGGATCAGAATGTCCTTCGCTACGCTCACAATTGGTGCAGCATTGTTGGTTTAAATTGTTAACACATTTGTTGTACAGTCAACTCTTATACCGGGCGGACTGATTCTTGCGCACCGTTCGTTTCATATGAAAATTCCGGAGTCTCTTGTAAACCAACCCGTTCGGGTATAAACAGAGTTGACTGTATATAATTTGCGTCACGAATGCTTGACGTCATATGAGCGTAACACGTGTATAACTTCGCAATAAATAAATTGGAACAAATCCTATCAATCTCTCTACTTTATTTGTTAATTGCCTTCGTTACAGATGCAGTGCGCCACTTTTATGGCGAAAGTCTTACACTTTAACTGCTTCTTTCCGGATGATTATAAAAACATCGAATGCGATCAGAAAGTTTCATACAGACAATATGTGGTGATAGAAAACTGATATACAAGTTATGTGACGAAAAAAGTTGCCTCGCTCAAATTTCAAACAATTCGCAGCCATTGCATCAAAGTATACAACAAATATACCAATTTAAAGCTTAAAACAAGCAAATTTTATTAATTATTGGTTCTTTTCCCATTATTTTTCAATAACTTGTTTATTTGTAAAGCTACACGGATTGTGTACATTTATTATAAGGGATAGTAACAATCCCCTTACTATTTACTTGAATAATAACCTCCGTGCATACTTTAGATTTGAACTAGTAAGTACAGTAACCTTTGTTTCACTGAGATGCTACCCAAACCTTTTTTGTCTCGCAATACTAACAATCGGTATAGCTTCAAATGTTGTACCTCAGTTGGGGACCTGTCTCAGTTCTGGACTGAGTGACTGGGTTCCGAACTGAGTGACTGGGTTCCGAACTGAGGACAGGTCTCGAACTCAGACACAACACAAACATCAAACCTCCGATTGCTCTTTCAACTCTTGATAGCGCATTTAATTCTGCTATACATACCACGACGCACGTATTTATGCAGGATGGAAGATAAAGAGGTTGACATTTCTGTGATATAAAAAAAAGTGTACACAGAATACGTAATACGATAGGAGATCAAGAAAAATCACATTCTTTACGGCATCTGACTCAAACTACAGATCTATTCAATCGGAGTCTCTTGTCACTATTGATTTTAGTATAAAGATGGGACAAGCAAGGTAGGAAATTCCGAGATACATGAGCAATACTTTTTTCATGGTAACTATTATAAAAAGTTAATACGGACGCCTCAATTTAGTTCTTTTATCGTTCGAGCTATATTATATGCCATGGATTAATCATCGACATAATTGTTATTTCAAAAAGTCTGTTTAATAGAACAGCTGGTATTTATTCTTTGAATTAACATTTCTAATCTACAGTACATAGACAGTAACCATTCTCTGTTCTGTAAGCAAAATACCGGTCAAGTCTATTTCTAAACTAGGTTAAGCTTGCTTGGGTGGAGCTATCGTGATCGGAATATTGAGCACATTGAAGCGAGTGCTAAAGGATGTGCCTGTAAATTTTAATTTGTGAAAAAGGAAGAGTCATGAGTAAACAATTAATAATGAATGCAACGTTCGCTGGCTAGTAACAACACAGCAACAGAAATATACTAATTTGACATTTAGGACTTACCGGCGTTGTAAAGCTGACGGATGCCTATTTTCGATGAGAACCAAAACAAAATAATTGATAAGTTAATGATTTCAATAGACGCACTCACTGAAGCAAAGCACAAGTAAACCCAATCTCGAAAGCGCGCTACTTACGAAGAGTAAACTTGCCGAATCCTAAGGGCACGGTGTTAGGCTTGGTTGTGTCTGACACAACTCGATATGTAAATGTGCCTTTAGTGATTTGCTTGTTTATGATCCCATATACAATTTCCTGAGGAGGTTGATTCGCTGGCAGTTCAAACTCCCGGATAAGCTCGCAAAACATTTCGAGGATTTCAGGGCCTTGATACAAATAAAAAAATGTTGACTTTAGTATGCAAAAAATGCTGAAGTTGCGAACCCAAAATCGTGTATTGATTTAGTTTCATTGTGCCCAGTTTTGTAAACTCGACAATGACAGTTAATTATACCTTGTGGAGCATCGGCCCGGATCTTAAGTTTAATCGGTTTACCCGCTGGAATCACTGCATTAGGCTTTGGTTCCAAGACCTTGACTTTATAAAGGGGGGGAGTAGCAGTAACAGCAAACACGGAGCAAGAACTGCATAGGATGGTAACCAACAAAAGCAGAAAGGCGAAGTGTGTGTAGCGTGCCATGCTGTTTAATGAATCTAGTATGGCGTTTGGTTACCAATTGTCAGCTGAAGGAGAAGGAGAGAGGGAGAGAGAAGGAGAGAAAAGGAGAGAAGGGTAGATGGAAGATGGGAAATCTGCTTTCGACGAAATGGGACGAGAGCTCGAAGTCTTAGCTACATGCGCTATTTATGAATAATTTTTGCCCAGCCACCGCAATTAGATCATTGGACCTATAATAATGAATTATAATAAATTCTCAACTATTTTTAATACAGTCGTCCTTCATGCCACCTGTGAGAACCATCGACATATTAATGGCTAACTTTATGTAACAAAGAAAAATGGGCAAATTTGAACATTGTTTACCAGCGAATAACTGGACGCACCAACTGACCAAAAATAGCTCGAGCCCATCGAGCGCACAAAAGTAAAATTAACATGCTATTCTTAGTAAACTTTGCATCAAGCTGCATATATAGTTGTCCACATTAAGTATAAACTAAAGAGAAACGTACTATACTTGGAAATAAGTCCGCGAACATTATTATGTTGCATGATTATTAGTAACAATCACACAGCAAAAAATATATAAATACATTCTGATGAAATACATTACGGAATTTGGTTAGAAAAGTGCGAGATGAATGTTTGAATTGTTGCGGCCGAAATCGCAAATGAGTATTATATGTATATCTCGGGGATAAACATTGGTTGCTTATGGCCAGTATTGTATACTGGAAATAAACATACAAATCACTTTCAAACCACTTAACTACCGTGCTATATTAAGCTTGTCATAACTGTGTGGTTGATCTTCCAGGTATCCAGGTATATTCGGCGGAAGAAATTTCCATCGCATCATAACACTCGGAGATGGGGTTAACTGTATTAGCAAATGGAAACAATATCTACTTATTCAGCCTTTGTAATATTTGCGACATTGTCTTTGAATGGGTGTTTGACAAGCGAAATATAAAGTTGTAATTAATGTGTGCATACAACGTTGTATGCTGAGGCACGACAAAATGTTGGTAAGCGGTTGAGTGTTACGTTGATGGCTGCCGTTGCTGGTAGTTTAGATATATTTTACAGACGGTTCTTAAGCAATCTGATGTTTTATAAATCGTCTTATTGTGCGTAGATAAATATCACAAAATACCAGCCGAATGATGATAGTAAACATAAACTTATTGTATACAGCACACACGTTACACATAAAATAGTATTTACCGTGTCCTCTCGTGAACAAGCATCCCAATAGTTTATTACACAGGGTCATCATTTCAAATACAACACACTTCTGGTTACTTAATTACAATTACTGTTGGACAACCTCCTAAAGTTTATTGTTTACATACAAGAGCTTGGCTGAAGAGAATATGTAATGAAAAACGTTGATAAATGAAATGTTGCGCAAGAAGCCGAAAACAAACGTAGTATGGAATGCGTTCACCATGAAAAGCGTTTATTGATCGTACTAACCAATTAGGGTTAGTTGTAGAACATCATCCCACTCGTTGACCGCCAATATTTTAGTGGCGGCTAGTATGTTTTAGGTAATTGTCTTGAAGATGTTTTCGGAGTATGTATACATAAAATTGTTTATTTCGGCAGTATAAATTTATCTTTCTTTATAACATAAGGTACAGTTCCAGATTGTTCCAGATTGTTAATGTTGCCATAAACTATACTGTGGGAATACCCTTGCGTTTATGAATCTCCACACATTCCGAATTACAATTGTTGTATAGCTTGGCGGTTTGCAAATATGCACGATTGAATGTTACAGCAAAAATTCCGAATTTTTTTGTCCCACATTGTATGTGTACTGTATATGTTAGTTATCGATGAAGTCAATCTCAGCCCTCGAACGTGACAAGTCGAGCGTGTAAACTTTCAAACCACTTAACACCGCTCAGTACATTTTGTTGATTATGAAAGTAGATGTGGTGGAATTTTATACGAATAATGTGACCAGTCTACTTACACATATACGTTGTACATAGTGTTTAATAAGTGAAATAAAGTCTGTGCGCGCGTACAAGGGAAAAGGTGGGTGCAGAAATAATAATAATAGAAATTTACATCTCGATTAAATATACATATGTACTGTATATCGCATCATGTTCACATAACGTTCTTTTAATGTAGTTCTTTATACTCTGAACTACATTGTTAATGATTCGTTTCCTGGCAATTATTGGTATAGTTGTGAATCACTAATTTCTATATCAATTAGCAATATCCGCTTCTTGTCCCGTGGATATTCTCATGGCATTACGATTGCATTTTTGATAGATTCCAACATATTAAAAGGTTAACTCGAGGCGAATAACCAAGCGTCTATACTAGGTCGTGAGTAGTAAAGCCTAGACTAAAGGCACTAACTGTCGCAGGAGAGCCACAGCTCCGTTTGAAAATAGCTAGGTCAGCGATTGATTGCGACATTGATAATAGAGATGCAAATTTGCTATATGGCATTATTTATCTCACAGCTCTGACCGAATATTGCAACTGGGCAGCACGTGAAGCTCTACTTTCTACAATTATTTTCTGATGGACGCGACCACAAATACCTGTGTTTCATACCAAATATGGCAACATGTAAGGATAGAATGATAGTATTTACAAATATTGACCCCAATAACTTGCGTGTTGGTTTGAATCTAGCTATTTCCAAAAGATTGGCAATAAGCATAAATCTGCAGATTCGTGCAACACATAGAAACCCAATCCCATAATCCCACTACTTAATTAAATCTCTCACAGTGTATTCCATTCGCTTGTTTTATTGAAAGTTGATTATCCTAACATATTTGCATCCCTTGACTTTGGAATGAAAGCTGGTCGTGAAAATGTTGGGTAGAGTGAAATTGATTTATGCTACTTTTCCCAAGATCACGGTAGCAGTACGAGTGCTACGGATGACCCGTGAGGTAGCGACAGTTCCCTGGAAAAAAAAAAGTGTGTAGAACATTATAATTATTCCCATTCAATACCTGCTTTCTCAATAATCATGCACTCCTTGCTGGTATGCAAGTCTCATATGATTTTTTACAAAAATCCACGAGGCAATTCCTAAAATGTCGCATTAAATCTCCGATATTGTAATAACCTTGTTACTTGATATAGTCTAGTAGATCGATTATGGTAGCCATAAAAGTACCATAGACGAAAAGCGTGCGTATTTTCGTTGACTGTCCTCTCTCGACCGAGGCGACAGAACAAAAACGATGGCTTTCGAGTGGAATTCGTATACAATTAGCTTTTATACTTTAATTGGAATTGTTGCCTGGCAATGGTGGCGATGGAAGAGACGTGGACATTTAACAAATGGTATCAAGAGACTACCTGTGCCTGGTGGGAGAGGTTACCTTAATGGACACGCTTGTGCGGTCGATAGGATATCTCGAGAAAAGTAAGACCTATTTTAATAGATAGATTGCAAACACGGGACATTTGTCGTAACTACTTTACAATTTATTTCACATCAGATTGATTGAATGGAGGACATCTCTTGGAGATATATACATGATCTATGTCAAATCACAACCATGCGTGGTTCTGGCAAGCGCGAAAGTGGTTGATGAATTGCTACAGAAAAGTATGGAACTTTTAATTGTGGAAAAAGGGGTCGGGATCACTAATTATGGAGGGATTTGTCGACATGCACTTACTTGGGTCAATTCTATCATAATTGAAAGGAGCAACCAAGTACTCTTCAAGAAGACCGAATTGTTATATTTCGGATGTTATTGAACGAAGGAGAAATTACGCCACCTCACCGTTTAATGCTTATTATCAGAAAATCAAATTAATAGGTAAATGATGGATACTCTATCTCCCACTTACCATTATTAATCAATTCATCTCTCCTATAACATGTGTATAAATTATTCCTTTTGCTTTTCCCTCCTACACAATGGCAATCCCGTCAGCCACACCTCTCCTAGTCAAGCACCCTTTACTTCCCTCAACGCTCGACCCACATACAGTCAAACTCCTCAAATCTCTCTTTTCTCTCCGCGTGCCATGTGATCCAACCCCTCATTTACGCCTTTTTGCGATATCGTCTCTCCTCTCTCATCTCTTTGGCATCTCTTCGCCAACCAGCGTCGACGATCGAACTCACCAACGCATAAGCAAGCTGATTAACGAATATATCAGATATTATGAAAAAATTGAAAATACAAGTAGGGCAGGGGTAGGATTACCTAATTTAAAAGGAAGCTTTGAGGATTGGAGATTGCGCTTTGGAATTCCAGGTAGCACGTATAAGGAGGCGATAAGATTAAGAGATAAGTTGGAAGATATAGTGCTTAGATTAATTTACAAAATGAACAAGGAGAATGTGGAGAGGGATTGTTTGGCAAAAGAGTTGATGGGAAGAAGGGAGAAGGGTGAAGTCGATATTATGGACATTATACATACACTTGGATGCTTTATTGTTATAGGGGTGGTAAGTACAAGAAAAAAAGGAGCCTATGTATTTAACCAATGTCATTTGTGAACTCGTCGGGTATTAATATTACAAGATTGATTTTTTTTATACCATCCAATCTATTATCATATATACTCTAAGTCCTCTCTTACACACTCGCTAACAGTTCTCATAACTCAGCTGGCCCAGACGCCATCTTTTCAGCCGATTCTAAGCACAGAACTATCCCTACCTCATCTTCCCACACTTTCCGACAGACCATCACGTCATTTCACAACGTCATTTATAAAACAAACGCTACTACACCATCCTGCGTGGTTGCCCATTCCACCGAGATACGTGCAAGTCGATGATGAATATCGGGGATTCCATATACCGAAAGGTGCACTTGTATTGGTGGATGAGAGCGTTCGCGGTGGGTGGGACAAGGACAGGCCGGGTGAAATGGAGAGAAACCTAGAGGTAGGGGATACAAACAGGTTTGAATTTGGATATGGAAAGAGAATGTGTCCTGCCGTTGAATTGGTAAGTTTAGATTGTGTGATTCTATTAATTTGTTGTTGAAATGTTCTCTTACGTTATTCATTCTGTGTAGTCCGAATCATTGTTATTTCTCGCGTTCTCGAGGATAGTATGGTGCTATAAAATTGTCGATGGCGGGATAAAATCCAAGCAAGTAGGGAATGGCCGACCATCAGTTAGTTTTGCACCCAGGAGAGAAGGACTTGAGAGGCTATTATTCGATGAATCATCATAATTTGTGGACTTTTTTTAATAGTGCATTTTAATTAAAGTATATATACGATTTGTAACACAAAGATGTGCGAACGCTAATAGCATAAGACAGAAACGTACCCATGATATAATGTTGCGGTGTGCATGATTTCATCTCTAGTAAAAGTTTCGTTACTTTAACTGATCCATACAGTTGCCAACATTCTCTGTATTTTAATGACTTACTGAGTGCCACCTTCCTGCAAAACCACTAGAAAGTAGATGAAATTCACTTGGATCAGATCAAATCTTTCTACATTCACCGAATAGAATTTAAGTTGAACTATGCAGGATCAACTTTGAGTATTCAAATTAGTCTTTCCACAATTATATGTTTGTACGAATACTGTACATCACGTGGTTGTAACCGCCCGCACATAACCTGTTGTCATGACACGTTTTCGTATTACATTAAAAATTTAACCAAGATCGCAGATCGCATACTCTCCAGTCGTTCGATATGTCTCAAAACCAGAACGATTCCTCCGCAAGGAGGCGATCAACGGGTGTGCCTAATCAAACAGACGGTGAGAATACGCGGCAGAATGGAGCACCAGAGGGGCAGCAGCAGCAGCAGCAACCCGAACAAGCGTTCGGAATTGCCAACATAGTTCAATTCTTGTTTCGTTGTATGATCATATACTATGTTTATCAATGGATGTTCAAAGGTATACATATATTGTCTTTTGTTGTTCTGTTACAATATGGCTTGGGTACTGAATTACTTGTATCGCTTGTAAGGATCCAAAACTCCGGTGACAACCCCTCCACCAGGATTCGTACCTGATACGGAAGGAATTAAACATTTTTCACAAATTACGCATGCTGCTCCATTATGGCAAAAAGATTCTAGCATGGTTAGTTTACATTTATCCGCCATTCGTCGTAATGACACGATGTTTAACACATGAATTGAATCCATCTACTACTATTGTAGGATCTTCGCGTTTACATCTCGGAAGATGAGGAATTCATGAATTTCAATGATCCAAAGTTTCTCGTTTGGCATGTTAATAATATTCACCTGGGTGACTGGGATAACGAGAAAGAGACAGCATTAGAGTTGCAGACATCAGCGGTGAGTCGTATTGACTAAGTAAGCAGCGATTGTGCATTTGTGAATTGGCGTCACGGTGCTGAATACTGCACACGTTTTGCATTTAGAATGTTAGACAAAATGGCACCTTGTATGCTCATATTTACCTTACTCTTAATCGAGCATCACCCAATCCGTTAGATCCGGGATTTCAACCTGACATGAGAGTGTATCAACGGAAATGTAAACGGTTAAATTTAAATTTCGTTGTATTTCCATGTTACACATTTCAATGCAACATCTTGGAATAACCTCAAGCTTGTCTATTTTGTAGTGTTAACAAGATATTTTCCCAAGCGTAAAGAGATTAAAACACGAAGGCTTTTAAGTGGTGGTGAATCGGAAGAAACGGAAGAGACGGAAGAGGACGACACGGAGGTCTATGTCGTTGCGTTATATATCAGTCCTCATAGTTGGATTACATTTAATGACAAAATACTGATATTGCGTTTCCTTTCTTATAATCTTCTGATAAGGGTACTCCAATAATTTCCCATTGGCATCAAAATTTGACTATCAATGTTGTAACCGATTCAACGGTCATTCCTTACGCATCTATACCTCCCCACATCTCATCATTGATACCGATGGAGAGTACCGGGATGACTGATCAGTCTGGGAGAACAGGGTATTATCTGCCTGTTGTATTGGCTAACGACTTTTGGTTACTGAGGGAACATATGATGCCAATTAACGAGACCGTAGAGTAAGCCGAAAGTACTTTTTTGTTTGCTTTACCAAAAGGCTTTAAAAATCGGCGTACATTAATACAAATTTCTGCAATTTAGAACGCTTCCATTAAACATCAAATATTATCCAATCAGTTTTTTCAAATTTCAACTTTACGTTCAAATGGAAGAATCATTCCGTATACAAGCTGGGTTCCTTGGCGGTGATGCACATGCTGAATTTGATGAAATCAAGAGAATGTTTTCGGAAACAAGTCCAATATTATTGGGGGTTACTATGATTGTGTCTATACTACACAGTTTGTTTGAGTTTTTGGCATTCAAGAATGGTCAGTTTATTATGTTTTACGTTTCTGTTTATTCTGAAACTTTATTAAAGAGTTGCTTTTGGTTTATAGATATCGCTCATTGGAAAGATATAAAGGAAATGACTGGTGTGTCAGTGCGCACTATATTTCTCAACATATTTTTCCAATTAGTTATCTTTCTGTACCTTATGGACAACAATCGAGATACAAGTTGGATGATTTTAATTGGACAGGGTATAGGATTAGCCATTGAAGTGTGGAAAGTCAAGAAAGCTGTAGACGTTGAGGTAAGCTTAATGGAATGAATCTACGAAGAATAATGAAAAACATTATTTTGTTCAGAGGCTAATATTCTATATATCGACTTTCATAGATTAAACCAGCACCTGACAAGTGGTATCGTTACTCGATACGACTCGTTGATAAGCACAAGTTGTCTGAGAGTGAAAAAAAGACAAAAGAATATGATCGACTTGCCTTTAAATATTTATCATGGGCGGCATATCCCCTACTGGTCGGGTATGCTATCTACAGTCTGTTATACAACACTCACAAGAGTTGGTATTCGTTCATATTGACAACTCTTGTCGGATTCGTGTATGCATTCGGGTTTATAATGATGACACCTCAATTATTTATTAATTACAAACTGAAGAGTGTAAGTACATTTAATAGTGACTTCTGCTTTATCATTGCTGCTTATAATTGCTGCTTTATCGTTGTTGCTTTATCGTTGTTGCTTTATCAATCATTGCAGCTTTATCGTTGTTGCTTTATCATTATTGCAAATACGATTGTAAGACTATATCTCTTGTCTGATGAAATTTTATTTAATACATTACAGGTGGCTCACATGCCGTGGAAAACTCTCATGTACAAAACATTGGGCACATTCGTTGATGATTTATTTGCCTTTTGTATTAAAATGCCAACGTTACATAGATTAGCATGTTTGAGAGACGATGTAGTCTTTTTCGTATACATATATCAAAGATGGACATACCCAGTGGATGAAACTAGAGCTAATGAGTATGGACAAGTGGGTGAAGAGTCTTCTGGTAACAATAAAATTACACCAGAAAAGAAGACTCAATAATGAGTATATTACGATAGAGTAATTGAGCATAATAAACTAATTAGCGTGACATATTGCCAAATAGTTTCCCTTCATAGTTTACAATTTTCAAACTTTCAACATTTTCAATACCAAAATAAAAGTTAAAAAATCAAATTACCTTTTGACTCGGCACATTAAAAACTCTTCCAATAATTTGACAAAGCATGCAAAGATTGCATGCAGAATGATTGATTTAACGCACTTGCACGTTCGCTATATTAATGTGATGAGAAATAGTTCTGACATAATGCTTTTTTGTTTTCATAGAGAAGAATGGGGTATTTTAGGAACGATTAATTAAATCCCTATTTGAGATACCATACAAACCGAATAAACAACAAATAACTATGTCAATATTAGCCTTACACGGCATGCAATTATGGTACATGATGAATTTATATTTACTATTATGATAATAAAACGCCAACATTTACTGAGGAAGGGATAAAAATGATCAAGGTTAAAGCTCCCTTTTTTTTACGTGTCATATTAAGTATCAGTTTTTGTTTTTTGCATTGAAATATTTCCTTGACACATTTCCTTTTTTTTTTCCTTTTTTTTTTTTTTAAACAGATACTTGTCATTAATTATTCATGAGACATATCTCACTGGAGCTTTCATGCTTATTAAACACTTAAATAATAAACCTTGCTTAGATATTTTCCATTTGCGCACCTCCAAACGACGAAGAGGGGGTAGAATTATTTGCGCAAATTCGTGGATCAAATCGTCGGCAACTGAATCATTACTATGAGTATAACCGTCGATGGATGCTCGGAACGTCTGAAGATGCTTGCAACTTCGTAAGAGGGTGACTATCCCCGGTATCTGAGCTATGTTTTGAATGTCCATTTCTATTATAACTAGATTGGGACATTCCGATATTATGGTATCGACAAAGTCGAGAAAGTAAGTTAAATGGACGTTTGTACGCAGTTCGCGGATCGTCTTTCCAGTGCGACGCAAAATAGCGTTGACTTGTTGGGCAAGATTTATCCACTCTGCCGAGTCACCATTAGATGGATATATATCCAACAACACCAGTCTACTCAGTCGAGTGATAGACGACGATGGAGATCCCAATGGAGCAAGTAACTCGCCAGTGACGCCACTTCTTGCGAATATAAGATTTTCCAACCTGGTACAATTCGCAAGAGCAGTCATTGGTGTACAATCGATGAAAGTACACCGATGAAATTCAGCATGTGTCAATGTCTTTTTGTGATGGGCAATGGCCTCGAATATCGATGTACCCACTATGCGAATATTATTTAGCACTAATTCGTTGATTCCTTGTTGCGATCCAATTAAATCAACCAACGGTTGAAGTAGATATTGCGAACAAGAAGCAATTTTGAGTATTTTAACGTTTGGGCTAAATTGAGAAATTGCCACGAGCATATCTTCGAACTCGTAGTCGGTCTCGTCGCCCTCTCCTTTGAATTCGAATTGTTCAATGTGAGAAAAGCACGACGGGATGGGTACGGGGTGGTGGGTGTTGGTTGCGGACGTGGATATCTCGAGGGATAGTATGCCTACTACCATGTCACACCATATTTTACCTAGACGACGTGTGTCAATAGAGAGACGATATAATTTAGGAGACGAGTCCGAGAATAGAAAGAGTAGTTCTTGCGCTATGAGAATTTTTTGTATTTCGTCGTCATCGTCGTCAATGTCGGATAAATAGTCGATAAAACCGTCTTCTGGCGCTGCCTGTTGTGATATCGTATATGATATATTGTCGGTTGTATCGAATTGAGTTGCCTGCGCAAGTCTTTTATTAGCGATCCATTTAGTTATTTCGTCATAGAATTCATCCATATCTAATACTCGTAAATATGATGCATAGTTGAAGATTGGTAAAATCGAGGATTCGAGTCCAGTAGGGACGTTATTTAATCTCAATCGAGCTTTTGCAGATTCAGAGAGAAAGGGCAAGTAAGCATCGATGGGCATGTTTTTTTTGATCGTAGATGGAGCTGATCGATCTTTACTCGTCAAACAGAATGGGTTCTTCCATAGAAAAGGAGTAGCAGCAATACACCATTCTCTGCTTACTCTTATGCACGAGTATATTGACGATTTATTGGTTTCTAATTCTGCAAAGATGCAAGTAAGGCATTCTGTCGGCAGGAGAAAAGGCATGATGGTGGTGATTCGAGTATGTTGATTTTGTTAGCGTTCTAGGTTTAAATGAATGAAGTTTAATCTAGAGTATTGTAGACAGAAAAAGAGCGAATTAAGTTAATATTGAATATATATATGTGTAAAACGGTAAAGCAAAGAAAATTAAATCAAAAACGACGACAAGTTATGAAGACAAGAACAAACATGCTACATACAATGACATACAATGACAGTGGCTACTACGTGTGTCTCGTTCTCCTGCATGTAATTTGACTGGTTCGGTCAATATTACTGGTGTCTCGGCTGTGTGGATAGAGGTTGACGATCTCATATAATATGGCTAAGACTTATTATTATATATGTAGATAAGTATATTTGAGATGGGTTTTTTATCCGATAGAAAAAGGTTAACACGCTCTGATATTTATCATCTATTTTATAATCAATTAATATCTTTTTATTCCGATATTCTTTTATTCTGATATTCCGTGTTGCGGATCGTTTTTAGCAGACAGTTTGACCGCCGTCAATTGGCCAAGCAAGTTTTGCCCTTTTTGGCGAATGTTTGTAACCATTTGTTTTCTTTTCATTAAACCATTTTTTTTAGTAGATTTTTTAATGTAATACATACGCCCTATAAGACCATGTACGCTTTCTTTATGCTTACAATTCGTAAGATTTACGGATTGACACAGGTAGCTAATCAGACGTGCAGCTGATGTCATACAAGCGGTCATTGAAAAGGTCGTAAAATATACTGTTATTGTATCACCTAAACGATACGAAAAGAATACTTGCTTGAATACAGGATATCATACATACGCATACATACATAGATAATACATACACACATATGTGCGTACACATATTGCATATGTATGTAATAGGATTACAAAGAGCAATGCGCAGGGGCAGAGGGGGGAAGGGCAGAGTGCGAAGGCAAAGTGCGGAGGTAAATTGCGAAGGTAATACACAGGGAGTGCCGATCATACACTCATTGTTTATAAACATTACACTAATTGTATTATTATCTATTTGATCTCAATCGTATTTATCATCGTTGTATAACGTTTATCAATTGAGATATTCAACATCCAAATTAAGCAGTTATTAACCTATCGGGACAGTGTAATATACACAGTCGACGAAATAACGTTCAGACGAAACCTATCTTGCATACGTTTCATTAAGGATTATGTGAGCAACAACGTTCGAGTAAGACAGGCCGCATTTTTACCACTAAGATGATGTGCAATGGACAATCGAACAAAAACAAGGGAGAAACAAAATTACGATTGGAATGCGCAAAAACTGCCACGCTAACTATAAAAAGCAAGATGTATTGGCCAAGCCAAGTAATAAACATGACGCTAATTGCATATTAATGTTAATCAAATGTATTAATATCTTGTGGTGCTTGATGCAAAAATCTTTAATTTTTGTTACTGACAAACAACCCGCAGGCGTACAAAGCTCTCGCTTGCACTGTCATTATTGGCAGGCTCAATGGCTAATAATAATAACAATAACAATCGCCCATTTGCACGCTAAAATCGAGCAATTATCTCGATATGGAAAATCAACACACTAAATAGTTTAACATAACTGGCATACTTTTTCACAATCGGCCGTTAATTATATTAATTAGTGATAGTCCCAAATATCACGGTAACGGCTGATACGCTGCTTGGCAATAAGAGATAAATTAATTAATTTATGGCCTCTATGTTTTGTCAAAAAATAGAATAGGCGAGCCTACCACAGGAAGGTGCAAAACCAACAGTAATTATTTACCGATAGTTTTTAATAAGTACAGGCCAAGGTATGTATGCATATAATGATACATAATGGCGAGAGAAATTCTCTCTGTGATTTTTTCTTGTTGGACAACATTAAATTACTTACTTTATAACTTTGATCCAATCTCCAGGTAAAACCAATTACAAGTATGACTAATGAAGGGCATACCAATCTGTGTGCATGTTTAAATGCTATCCGGCCACATCTAACGATAATTACTGTCAACTTTCCAATTATCCAACTCGGTTTCGGTGGTTATTATTGGTTTATTGGTATCAATGCATATTAATATCAACTTTACAATTTTTTTATTGCTTGCCGATTCAATGACAGTTACATGACAGCACCGATACGTGTAACCTGTTATCTCCCTCCAATCACAATCTTTATCTAGGCATTAATACGCCCGCTATTCTTAACATCAATTTCATTTGTGTCACAAAAGTAAAGCATACACTTAGACGTTATAATTAGCATTTACACCATAATATTTGCAATAGGAAAGCTGTGCGCACTGTTCCATTAATAGATACAAGATCCAACAAATGCTATTAATACATAGCTATAGGCATGCATTGGTAATCTTGTCAGTCGCAACAACTCATTCCAGAATACCTAAAATTACAGCGCAAAGTACAGTAGATTACGTGCGTGCACTGCAAAGAGACGGGTTTTTTCTTTAATAAGAAATACATTCACAGTAGATCCGCATGGATATATCTTAGTTCGGATCCCAGTCATTCAGTCCAGAACTCGGTTGTCTTGGTCCAGAACTAAGACAGGCCCCCAACTGAGGTACAACATTAGCAACAGGCAAAAGACTCGAATTGCGGTTCTTTACAAATTAGGTATAGCATCGGATTTTATTTTTCCCAACGCTGCCCCTTTGGCATTAATGATATCATCGATAACGTTCCAGCCCTAGTTTTTACATTAGGCTTAATCTTCTGCCGAAGTGCGCGCAGAATGTCATCATGTCCTTTTTTTTTCCCTTTTTTTTTTTTTTTCGGTAACGCTGCATTTGGTAATGGCACACATGTCCCACACTATCGTATTACACCTGTGTAATAAAAAATAATGAGCGCAGATTCCGTCTGAAAAAGACATCTTCAATGTCATTTGGCGGTTTGAATAAATCCAATAAAAACTTATCAAGCCAAAGCGATAAAGACTAGCAGGCTTTTCTGAGGTTAAAATAAATTTTTTATATTTATTTTGAAGAGCATAATAACAATATTAGAACGACAAACAATTTTACTGTATGATTGTGCTATTGTTGTAACGATACCTAATAAAGTGTCAATATCTCCATAATAAGATTGAAGAAATTATTTAATTTAGCTATTTATTGAATTTTGCAGAAAATGCGGCGTAAGTATACATCGATAATAGGCATTGACGATGCTTACTCAGTTTTAACATAATCGGGAGATAAGTTTATCAAGATCAGATCGTTAATCATGGCCGAGATATTTATTCCTATTGCAAATATAAGTATCGATTAATATGGAAAATTAATCAAGCAGATTAGATTTTTATCAATACTAGAAAGATCAGAAATAATTTAACGGTCGTTGTGTTTGATCAAACGATTCTATAGAGAATTTTCTAAATCATCCAACTTTAGCTATTGCCGATAGGTACTAGCGGATTTGTCAACGCTTACTAATAAAACGATAAGTTTTTTAAAATTGTTATCGGCGTTTTTTTAAATAGTAATTTTTTAACAATGATGTATGCTGATGAAATAATGCATACAATAAATGAGCGCATGTAACGAAAGAGTTGTCAAACAATTTCAAAATGGATATTTGCGTGTAACCAGTCTTGCTAAAGCCGATGGTAATACTCTATGTTCGATTGTGGAATAAAGAATTGAATAGAGAAGCATTTAGGATCTTCCCGACCACCGCCCCTTTTTTTGCCAAGATATTATCTAACACATTGTAAATTTCGTGTAGCAAACAAAGTTGCTCGCCCTTTGCCAGGTGCAACTAGATGTTAAAGCTCCCAACATAAAAATTTTTATTCTGAAGTATGCACATTTTTGCATGTGGTATTGAAACTGTCATATGTTTGTCCAAATAAGAACAGCAAAGAAAAACAACCTTTCGTTAACGGCATACAACAAAATAAAACAAATAAAACTGTCGTTACCAATTCTTGAGGCTATGAATTACATATGCTGGCTTGCCTAGTGATGTTACATAAACAAAAAAATTTTTTTTTTTCGGCCGAAATATGATACATGCAGCCGAGTATAATGCGTGTTATCTTTCGGTACATACACGGATGTTGAAAGAACGGTTTAACATAACAATTTCTGGTAATAATATTTGCAATGTTAACGTTAAATAACTTAGGAATTCTCTATACCTAAAATCGATCGCAAATATTTTTAGGTATTATATTATTTATGTTTAATTTCTTAATATTTGCAGTAAGTGTAACAATTTAATTTTTCCAGAAAATTTTGTTCAACAATTAATACACTTATACATAAAATCACAACAACAAACATGTTTCAGCTTTTTGTAACGATTGAGAGCATTACTGCGGTCTCTTTTATTAAATTGCGAGGCTGTGTAAGTATATTAGTTATACTATAATACCCAAACTACCTTTAAATTTGTTGCTTACAACTGTTTTACTCAGTTGGGGGACCTGTCCCGAGACATGAGGCAAGTCCCAAACTCAGACACAACATAACTATAGTAATAGGACGTTTAAGCTTGCTTTTTATATCAACCGTCTTAAATAGAGAAGACTTTTTGTTTAAACACTGTAGTTACATATTAACTTAGTTTTACCAATATTTTTAGTTAGCAGTTTACAATTACACATTGCCCTGCTGACTCTACTATTCTTTTTGGAAGCATTAATCTATCACAGTCCCTAATGCACATTCTCACTGTTCTGCAAGTGCAACAGATTTCGCAATCCCGGTTATTATATGAAAGTAATCTCCGACGTACACACGTGACCCGATCTGTTAAGTCGCATGATGTTACGTGACATATATTAGCGAATCAATCCTGATACTCTCTAACATCAGTCATATTTTAAATTACTTTTGTTAATTATAATATATTAGCTGAGACACTAAATATAATCAACAAATAAATTTAAGGATACATTTGCATAGTCAGCATGGTAACAATTTGTTAACTAATTGCTAGCTTGATAATTATATTAAACCATTGTCTTTCAATAAACGCTATACTTTGACCATACTTCAAAATAAGATTACTTTATCAGATGTTCAAAAATATGAACTTTATCTGTATGTTTGCGATAATGAGATAACTTGAACAGAATATGCTAACTGGGTTAAAAACAATGGGAAATCAGAGTTAATGAATATACAAAAAAAACAAAACAAGTAAACATAGCAAATATTCTTGAAAGATATATTAGAGAGAGAAAAGCATAGATCAGTATTTTACGCAATGATTATGAAACTAATAAAGCACAATACAACATATTACACAGTGAAAGCCGATATAACGGACCATCGATATAACGGACCGTCAATAAACGGACCTTTTCTCTGGAACAAAATTTGTTGACTAAATAGTATCTGATATAAACTCACAAGTCGATATTATGGACTCGTCAATATTACGGATTATAACGCAGGTCCCGAACAGTCTGTTATATCGACTTTCACTGTATATTATTTATTTGTATCACGTGATTTACCAGTATAAACTCCAGGCGCTCTCAAATTTTCAGTCCTGAGGGTGTAAGAGTTGGCTGTAATACATTTAAATTTCGAAATTAATGTTTTTAGCTAAAATTGTAGGTTTACAGAACTCAAATTTGTTTTTATTTTCAAGAAATGCTGGTAACTTTCTATCAGACAAAAATACAAGTTTGGATTTTACACATTGGACTGATACAAAATCCAAGTATTAGTGCGTTACCCATACCAGAGACAAATTTAAGCTGCTAAATGTAAAATTCAGCACAATTTCAAAATTATAGACACAAACTTAACAAAAAATTTGGTAAGTAATAAGGTTTTAGCTTCTTCATTGAATTTGATGCTGCTGCGAACCAATTTGTTTCATATGATTTATCTTCTATTTTTCTATATCACGCAATAATCGTCCATGAGCAACAGATTATTTCTTTATGTTGTCATTACGATTTTGTTCTTTGGTATCTCTACTTCCTCATTAGGGCTATCTGTATCTGATGATTCATTATTCTCTCGAAGAACCAAATTGATTATCTCTTTATCGTTTACTAAGCCTTCAATCCGGAAATTTTTCTTGCGTCGCATGGTAATAATTGTCGCGGCTGATGCTGAATGAGCTATGGTTACATTTATTAATATACCCAATAAATCTTGACTTCACCGGTATAAAGTAAAAACAGAGTTATTAAGATTCAGCCGTTGTAAGGGTTGAGATTAATATGGATTTTTTTGGTGCAGCAAAATTGGACCGGTATAAAAAAGGCCAGTATAGACAGAGTTTGACTGTATTTTCCCATCTACTAAAATTTGTCCAACTTTTCAATATTTTTAGGCATACATTTCTACATTATTATTAATGGTTTTTTACCGTAGAAAGTAACATTGATTAATTTACCAATTTTTTGCTCACTGCTATTGTTTCCATTGTATGCAGAGTGCGACCAATGATAATTAAGGTCCTGTCGGCGCGAGTGGTTTGGCGATTTTTGGTACGTGTATATGATTCAGCCATTATAAGGAGATTAATATATAATCTTTTGGTGCAGCGAAACCGGTATAAAAAAGGCCGGTATAGACAGAGTTGACTGTAATAGTAATATTAATAGTAACATGACTGTCTACCAGAACCATAATACAATAATACGAAAACATTGTTCTATAACGTGATATGCAAAGAAACGTATAAAAGAGATTTTTCCCTTGGACCCAACGGATCGGCGGAGAAGTACGTGTATCACATGTTTGTGTAAGTAAAACGTATAAACAGGGCGGGCACAGATCGTCGCGACTCTTCTTTCACTAAATCACACGAAAAAAATGGACCAAAAACCAACCTGGGAATTTACGTGCAAATATTGGGAAGACCATCCTGGAGCTTCCCCGGGAAAGATCGAAAGAGCATATCAAAAACACCTCAAGACACTTGGTAAGCAAACAAGCGACACAAGTTTATTGGGAGGATAGAGGAGCAACGGAGAGAAGAGTTCGAATACTGTTACTGGTTTTGTGCTATATTGCAAGAGGCAGTTGGGCGTTATTAGTTGGGGCAGTGCTGAATCGTAGCAAAGGTTAGGTTTGACCGTCCATTGCTGTTTTGTCTTCTTAAGGTCCCTCAAAAATAACAAAGCCACGGGACGACGGTAAGTGCATGAAATTTTGTATCGTTCCATATGAATTTGCCTGACGTTGTGTTTTCTTGAAAATAGTTCTTGATATAGCATTCACAATCCCGTTCAGTTCGAACATCGATTATACCGCCGAGTTAGCGGCAATTAGGATCGATCAGAGATTCTTCGGAATATTTTAATTACCTTGCGGTAGTCCAGTCATCTGGATATGGTAAAACGAGGGCCATACATGAACTGGCAAAACTATATCCCATGATATACCTGTGTTTCCGTTCATCCATATCAACTGGATATCCAAAAGCAGCGACACACAGTTTGACATTAAAGAACGAGATCGATTTTTGCAACACAATAGGCTGTAGCTAACAGATGGCTTGCTGCAATAGTTATTACATTTCTGGACAAGAGCGATGTTTATAATAAGATGGATGGGAAGAAATATCACCAGCACATACTAGAAGATAGAGAAAGCAAGGTAATGCATAATTATTATTTACATTTATGTTATACAGTATGCAGTGAAATACCCATGAGAAAAAACACAAGCAGTATCAAGCAAAAGAGTTCTGGGATGCCATCTATCAGAAGAAAAAGCAGATTGATATACAACCCACCTTGACCTTGAACCAGTTCATAATAATATGCTTTGATGAAGCCTCTGTACTTACTGGTAAAAGTTTTTATGTTCTTTGCTGAACACTAGACATCAATTCTGAATCCTCATTGGTTTGTTAGAAATGGATGATTGGAAGGTCTTCAGGGCGATTTGCAGAACCCTTTGCAACCAACAGGAGAACATTGTTGGAATTTTTGCAGATACAAATTCATCAATTGGTGACTTAGTACCTGCTCAAGACAAAGATGACTCTGTAAGTTCAAACATGTGACATTTTTCATGTTATGACCTTTATTTATTTTGTTTATTGTTGTGGAAATTCAAAGGCAAGGGATCTGAATCTTCATGCTCACAGACCATTCATTCACATTGCTTCAATGGATTGCTTAAGGTTTGGATCTGACTGTCTTTGCAGGTGTCAGTTGGAGTGTTTAGTATTTTAGTAACAATATCTGTTTATTACATAGCAATACAAGCTACTCTGAAGAAGAAAAGAAGATGGGCTACAATATTGTTGTTATGGTCAGCCATTGTGGCAGTCTATGTGGAAAGGCATGATATATGATGCACCATATGAGAGGTATTGCTACTTGGTGGACATAGCAATGACAAAACTATGTGGTGGAACTCTTAATTGGACAAAACACTGACAACAATCTGCAACAGCCCTGATGGCCTACACTGTTTGCATCTACATCTATCCTCTATCATGCATGGCAAGAGACTTAGTCAAATCACATATGGCAACAATAATCACTGCTGAGGACTCTGGTAAGAAACATTTTATTGGATATCCATCAGAACCAATGTTATCAGAAGCAGCATTGACACTGCTATCAAAGCCTGGCATTGAGCTTGATGTACTGAAGGAGCTAGATTTAGTTAGAAAAAAAGGTGGGGTTATTATTATTGATACTGGATTGGAGTTATTTATGTTTTGCTGATTGTTTCAATCAAGAAAAACTGTGTGTAAGAATACTGCTGCTAAGTACAAGGCATCAGCAGATACTATCCTTCAGAGAAAATTGTGAGGTACATATTGAAACTCTCATTTATATACCTTAATCATGGTTATCTTACTGTATCTCCTTTCATGTAAAGAATTATCCAGCATTCTCTGCCCACCAACCAGTTATTGCATACCTTCATGAACTGTTCTCTTCCAAGTTTCCCCATTAGAATTTTCAACATCTGGTAGCATATGATATAAGTTTTACACATTTCATTGCACTTGACCATACCCCAGATGAATCCACTTTGCAGCACTGTTGGGATTGAGGTGCAGCTATCATCTACTAGTGCAACCAGCCAGGTGCAGATATTGCACTAGTTATGTGCCACCGAAATAAAAAAAAGTTTGCAGTATTAAATATACAGGTAACAGTCTTTTTACTATAAACTACAACCATTATTGTGCTCTGAAGGAAGGATTGTGTCTTGTCTAGGTGAAAAATCATACAAGACCTGAAAGCAGAAGTGTGCAGAATTATGCTGTTGCTACTGGCCTCTGGACATCAATAACACTGTGTAAAACATGTGCACATTTAGAGAATTCTTCTGTTGGTATTTATATTCAAATTGGTAGGAGGAAGTTGATATATTTTTATACCAGTTAATGCTTTGTGTGGTCAGTTTATTGACTATGTGTATGAATTGGATAGGTAAAGCATATGCAAATAACCCAAAGTTTGAAACATACTATTATGGTAAAGGAAAAAATCATTGTGGAAAGATGATGTTTAACTTTTCTAACAATACTGAGAAAGCAAACAGGTTGGTAGTTCTTGGCTTGAGTTGCTTCAAGCTTGATCAACAATATTATGAGGTCATTCAGAGTCTCCTGCAGTCCTGGATTGATATATCAATGATCTGTAGACCAACAGAATTCAAATTCATATGTAGGATGTTTCCAGTTGTCTATGGCTCTTGTGCTACCAAAAGGTAACAGGAATATTCCTTTTTCTTCATAGCAATAAGACTTTGTAATTAATGCAAATATTTCAACAGGGCAAAGGAGATAAATGATGATAGTGATGAAGATGCAAAGGATTATTTGATTAATAAAAGATGGAAATCTGATGAACAAGTGGAACAAGATGAGGAATGGTCTGAAGAATATGAATAGTGTGCATGTGGATATGTTGCAATTTATGCATTCTCTCAGCGAATTTTAAATAAAAGCTCTTAACTATGCCTTCTCTCTGAGCAAGCTCACTTTATTGTTATGTCATGAGTTTACATATATCATGTCCATGCTGTCCTAAGGAATATGATTCGTCCTGAACCAGTTTAGCTTTTCTATTTTCTTTTTTGAAAACTGGATCATGATAAAGAAGTGATAAAACTATATATAAGATTACCTGTATATGAAAAATTGTGAATACAGTGATTCGCGTTTCTTGGAGAATGCAACTGCGGTTGCTCAGAAAAGATGCCGAGAAAAGTTTGCTGAATTACGTAAAACGTTTCAAGCTCTCTCTAGATCCGAACAAGACATATTTTTAATGGCTCAACTGAAAACAATGAATGGTGGAGAAATAACTGCCAGCCGACGTCTTAAAAAGAAAATGCGTAATAATAAGCGAACGTTTTACTACTGAGATCGCAATACGCCCTTTGTCAGAAAACGTATCTGAATGTTAGGAATTGGTTGCACTTTGAAAACACCTAGCGACGAATGGTATAATACCGCGCGTTCGTGGTAATGTAAAAAAAGTGCCGCGATGGAAAACCAAAATAACCAATTTCTCGAGAATTATGCTGAAATTCATGAATTACCAAGTCCCGGTAGAAACGTCAACCGAACTACTCAATCTTGCCAGCTGAGACGAGTTACAAGGGGTCCGGTTCATTTATCGACAATCATTTCACCGACAGTACGTTTCACCGACATAAATTTCATCGAAAACCAATGATAAGTGCGATAAACAATGTGTCACGTGAAATGACTGTCGGTGAAGTGTACTGTCGGTGAAATGATTGTCGATGAAATAAATGCCTCCCGTTACAAGTCGGGATATCGTAATTTTATTGCAGGTCTCGAAAATAGCACGTTAAAATTATTAAAATATGATGCGTTTCGCAAGTTATGGCACCAGTTAACGGCTTATATTCAAATCATGAGTCCAAGAACGAATTTATATGATCTCCAATTAATGAATAAATTACACATGCATACATCACTAAGCTCAGAAAGGGGAAATGAACGTTAATTTTGGGCTTTGCTAATATTAAGATACGCAAAAAAAAAAAAAAAAAAAAAAAAAAAAAAAAAAAACGAAAAAACGGATGAGTAAGAGACCCCAATATTTAAAATTAATACGTCTGAAAATTGCATAAACGTATATTATTATGTAGACAGTAAACTTAATGTAATTAAGGTCTGAACTGCTTGATAACCAATTAATTACTTCTGGAACATTTTTCTTTAAGGTAATATGACTGATTTCATTCAGGGTTATTATTCCAGTTGTTTCCAACGCGTGTTTGAATTTCTAGCTTGGGTTTTGAATATTTCGACGTAAAATACACCAGGCATAATATATCTTGGAACTATATGTATATTTTATGTAGGAAAAAATTTACACGCGGAATAAACATTTTTCTTACTATTAAGATATTGCTTAAAATAACAAGCCTTTTTAGAAGTTTAACAGCCCAGCCCTTAAATTTAGTTTCTTTTGGGAATATTTGCCTATAGATTCAGGGAGCAAATTTTTATTTATAGATTTAATTTCTATGGTTTAACTCATAATTACTCTATTCACATCAAGTTGACAATCATTTTTATTTACTTTGGTTTATTTTTCAATTCAATAATATTGTTATAGGCCATTTGAATACGTCTTATAAATATACTGTACTGTTAAAAGTAACCATCCGGGACATGTCTTAACATTTCCCCTGTGTATAGGCGTATTATAGCCCTGATTATACCTGTAAAATTTTAGCTCGCTCGGCAATTTGTCAAGCTCCAAGTGTTTGATTTTCGAGACATATCAAACCCATGCGCGATTTTGGTAAAAGTTCATGTATCTAACCAAATTTAGTAATATTTTTTTGACCAAATTGCTGTGGCATGATGATGCTGATTGGATATCATGCGCGTTTATTGCCAATATAGCAAAAAATTTTTAATTCAACCACATATCCCAAGGGACACGTAGAGACAGCACTAAAAAAACGTGGAGATATGGATTTTGAAGTTCATGTTTTATATGTTTTCGAGACGATACAGAATGTTTAAAATCTTTGCTAGAGGCATCTGAGCGAGCTAAAATTTTGCGGATAATCAAATTTCAGATTAAATCAGTAAGCAGTCAGAAAAGCCGTTTGCTTTAAAAACTTTAAATTATCTACTTGGAAAGACATGCAGGTATTTTTGTAATCGCGATAGGTCTTAAACTCTAAATTATAAAATTTGTTCTGTTTCATAGCATTAAGCACCGTTGATTAATAATAGCGCTATTTCTGATTTGTTTGTTGCCCGTATTATTATTAGTAATCTATAAATCATTAGACTTGAAGACTCGTACTTATAAATTTGTGTTCATCAAGCACGTGGTTAAATTGTTCGGGCGGACTAGATAATCAGAATGCGGGACGTAGCATTCTGTGTTTAATTGTACCGGTGTATTCCCTAAGCTATTAGTTAGCTTTGCGATTTTTATTAGATAATGTTTACCGATTGTATTTTTCTTATTTACTCCAGCTTGCCAATCTATTCACTCTTTTGCGAAAATGTATCAATAGATTTTATTCAATATAAGTCCAAATGAAAGTCAATTTTGCAAGATGCGACATATTAGAGACGCTTTTGAGATCTGTAAGCAAGCATGTGGGTTATTTATTATGGTAACGGCTGGTAATATAAGGAATATTTTGATGACGAAATTTGGCATTCAAGAACTTTTTTTTTTATTGTGCAAAGAAAGAGATAGCATAAACCGCTACCCAACAGTGAAAGGCTCTCTTATTAAATCTTCATACGTACTGTATTTTCTTCATTAACAATATAATTTAAACGTCTTTGACATCTAAATTTCTTCCATATTTGTCCTGTTAAATCAGATGGTGAAACGTAAGCAATGGCGTTTAAGATGACGCAAACCTGCCTATTTGTGGCGCATATCCCCCCCTAATATCGCCCACATGAAATTGATGCAAGGGGCGAGAGAAAGCGAGAAGAGCCGTTCATAGTTTAAACCATATACAAATGTAGCATAGCATTACTCCGAGAGGTTGATATTCATGTGTTTCTAGCAAACACGGATTAGCCAAGAACACAGAGCGTTATTATGACGGATCAAGCGTAATGACATACATTCACATGGGAAATGGCGATTTTGGGGGCTTCGTATCTATTTCGAAGACACTCTTCGGTGACCTACGTAATCACTCTAATAACTTTTCAACATAAGCTACCATTCAAATTAATTGCACAACCAGTTACAAGTGGGCCTCGATATAACGACACGCTCGCTATGTCGAGAATGTTCTTATATCGAAAATTAACTTACATACGACAACTAAGCAATATAAATTTTTGTTGTCGTTATAACAAGATGTCGTTATATAGCAGTGTCGTTATATCGAGACTCACTTGTATATATTTCTCCTCGCAATCTTATGTGTTTCTAAAAGATCTAAGTTCATTCTTTTTGATCACTTTACACGTGATTTATTTTCATCTTTGGACTTCGCACATCGAGTCTGTTGTATCGAATACCAATTAATAATGGCAATTCGATGAAAGTTTTAACTATAATTATTGCATTCTGTTTTAAAAACTTAATCTCATAACAAAGAAAGGCTATCTATCGTATTATTGTATTTTGTCCAACGTTACATTAAAACTTACTCAAATTGATAAGCAATAATACCTTAACCATATTGAACGAAATTAATATAAGCCAGACTGTATAAATAGCGGCAGCTTGATCGTAAAATTGTTCTTGTAGCTTTTATTATATATTAATTGAAAATTATCTAATTGACGACCAAACTTGAATGGAAAGAATGAAATATTGCTAACATAACTGTACGTTCATCTATTTAATGTTACCGAATAGAAATTGTCAGAGACTCCAATATCCACTAAAAACCTATTGCATTTCTTTACTGACCAAAATTTTTTAAGCAAGATTGAATCTATTTGTGAGTATAACGCTCAAACTCAATTGTATGGTTAAGAACAGATTTTGATGGTGTTAGTTAGCAGCGATTTAGCTTATATGTTAGAGACTTATTTTGAAAGTCGAATATAATTTTTGCGAAAGTTTATCTATTCGTTCGTGTTTTTCAAATATTCCAACAAGCATGCCAGAAATTGAGAAAAAAGAAACCAACCAAGAATTAGAAAATTATGAAATGTTTATTCCAGTTGTGATTGAGATATTCAAGGCAAAGCAATACGCGAACAGATTGTCTTCTTGATAAAGACAAAAAAAAAGGCAAAACCATTAATATTAAGAGCACAATCGGCATGGTTTTGATGGTGATGTACATTTAAAGTTGGTTTTTTTACTAATGCAAATGAGAATAAAAGCCTGCAAATTCAAATGTAACGTCAATTTGGCGCGCAATTAATTACCTGAAATTGTATTGTTGAGACAGCAATTGAACAAACTCGGTATTTAAAGATTGAAAAGTCTTCAAATATTTTACTTTGATTTAATCTTAGTGTTGCCAAACTCACGTTGCTACTATAGTAATTAAACTTGTTGAAAACAAAAAAGACAAAAAAAAAATTTATTTAATACTAACAGCCCTATCCACTACTGATTCCAGTATCCCTTTTTTTAAGCTTTGAGCTTTGTTTTTTTTTGTTCAATAACTCTTCCTTTTTGTTCTTCTTTGACAAATCTCAAAACTATTGGTATAAAGGCATTTAGCACAACATTCTTGCCATTTCTTTAACATACTCGGTTGACAGTATTTTTAGGAGAATTAATGTAGATTAACTTCATGTTTACATAGCATCTTGTATAACACATGTATTGATAAGCAGGTATCTTGTATTTGATGCATGTGTGTTACATCTCGCGCGATTATGGTATGTATGCAACGTTAACGGTTTCCTTGTGCAAATTCGGTGCTGCCAGCCTAGTATATGCTTTACCATTATTGAGAGCAAGTTAATTGTGTCATCTCGGCAAATTAGTAGTACTCATGTACAGGGCTTGGACGGTTACAAGTAGCAGTTTTATTCGCCTCGTAATAACAAAGTGTTGCCAAACATAGCTAACGTTCTTTATCATTCCATTCGGTTACAAATGGAACGCAATTAAGAAGTCTTGCTGTATCAGAGAAACGTAAGACTTATCAATACAACCGTAAACATAGAAATTCGACCAGAAATATCAATGTGTCGAGTAATATTCACTCTTGGCATAATCATAATAATGAATTCAATTGGTAAACAACATGGTTATCGAACGAATTTTTAGTCCAAACTGTCTTGCATACAAATGCAATTACGTCGACAAATTTTTATCGTAGACATGCTACCAGCCCGAGAGGTCTGGGGGATGAATTTGGTGATAGATAGTAAGCCACTGTCGCAAGTCGAGATAGATTTGTACTGTATTCGTCAAATGCTTTCCCAAGTAGTATAATAAATACATATGGCTCAATAGACTCGTAACTGTTTGAAATGCTATAAAAAACATTCTTCGAACAAGAATTTCTGTCGACTATTAAGACTAGACAACCTATAAGCGGTTTCATTCTGCAATGTAGTCGCAAACAGTCCCGACAATGAGTTCGTTCTCAGAATCTATGCTTTTCAGATGCCACGTACTGAATGACAGCAAACTTGTGGTGCAGGGTATTGATTATCTTGTTACATAATATACGCTAGATGGCTGAATATGGGTTGCGCGAAAAGATTTGAAGAATGTTAAAAAGAACAAGTCTTTGTTCTCTATTTTTTGTGTCCAACGATTTTCCGCCAGCCGATCACTAATTCAGAATAGTGCGTTTTCGACAATGTTAATTCATACAATGCAATATGTTTCCAGGCTGCCCCCCCGCCATTTCAATGTTGCACACTTTCATCAAAAACAATGCCTTCAGGAGCTAGAGCTTTTTGTCACATCTGGCAAATTACGTCTCTCTACGAACCTGCTATCGGTTGTAAAATAATTTACTAACACAAGTAGATAAACTCTTTATCGGAACAAAGTAGGAAAGGTGGGACTAATGAGAGCTTTGGTGTGTTCGGTTTTAATTAAGCCCGGCATTACCGTCCCAATCGTCTACAATGGAAGAAAATCACGTTACAGTTTTTCATTAACAATATTCATTTCAATTTGTTCTACCATTTCTATTATTGACTTATTCTCCATATAAATCTAGACTGGAAGTAAAATTACATGTAATTGAGGCATTGTCGTGAAAGGCCTTATATTATGCAAGCAATAATGAATGTCTATTTCGAAAATCAAGCCGGTATCGGATGTTTGTACGCATACAAGTGAATGATCGCAATTTGATGCATAATAAACTTTGTTTGGCGTATGTATAAATAATAATAATATAGCGTTTATGAGATTATTGCCAAGAATGGCAAATAAACACTTATTTGGAATGCGGTGTAATATCACTTACTGTATATAGCGTATAATTTCTATTATTCTGGCAACTCTGATCACCCAGCTGAAACGCATATCACACCTCGGTGCCAAATCTTGCATCTTTGTTATACATAAACCGAACTTGTGATATCAAAATGAGAGAGCAATTCAACCACAATATATCATCATTATTAAGCATACGTGTGTCATTACTTGCTGTGTTCCTCCCTTATAAGAATCCTGCGTCCCTCTTTATCTGTACAATTATTCTGTTTCTCTGTAAATTGGACGAGGAGAATCTCATTACGTAAATCGCTGGTAGATTTAACCAGATTGACGACCGTGTCGTCTACAAAAGAGCAGAGAGTAACAAAAAGAACATAATTGAATTGGGGAGGATAAAAAAAAAGTAAAAAGTAGAGGAATAAGGAAACGCACATCAAAATTTATGTTCTAGGATCGCATACGAATCGCCACGAAAATAATACTTTACTGGATAAAGACAAAAGGCGAATTGGGTTTCCCTTTGAATAACTTACCAAAGAGTGTGTCAACGCTCTCTCCACTCCCCGTCATCACAATTAATCTCCTTTGGTCGTAATTCAATAACACGCGCAGTTTCACTCCTTTATATTGCGCTGTTACAACTACCTTATACTATCTACACATCTCAGCGAGATAATCAAACCGACACCTAAATGATATCACTCTCATCGATTCTCGCATCCGTATCCGCTCTCCTTGCCCTATTTTCATCATTCTATGTCTTCCACCGGCTATTAGTTTCTCCGGCGCTTCTCCACTTTACGTTATTCGTCGGTGCCATCTTGACGTTTGCTCTCTCTGCCGTTTCGGTCTTGTGCTCTATTTCAGACATTTGCCTTACCCCTTGGATCATTTACTCTTATATAATTATATCTGCGCTCTTAACTATTCTCTCTTGTTATGTTATACTACATGTTGGAACTAATTTTTATAGATCATATGATATAGTTAGAAACACATTATTATTTACCCCGATTATAGGAACGTTTGTTGTACTGGGATTAGCTGTGTACAACGTAGTAGGGATGGTGTTGGATGACAGCACAGTGCCGAATGAAACATTGAGAACGGCCGAGATTTACGTAGAACTTGCAACAGGATTGGTGAGTTTGATATATGCTGCGGTGCCGCTAAAAAGAATGAAGAAAGAGAAAGAGCTGAAACCCGAACGAACGGCCATTTTCATCATCAGGTTACTCGAAGTGGTAGTATTTTTCATTGCCCATTTCGTGGTAACAATGTATAGCACATATGCTCGACCGTTCATGGACGCCGAATTCGATGCCATCGACTATATCCTGCTTGTTTTTGTATTTCTGGTTCCATTGGTTCCTACACCAAGGAAAATAATTAAAAGGATAAAGAAGAGATTTCTGGGGGTCGAAGAACTAACCATTGGTGGAGACTTTAGACCGAGCATGATGGTTGATCAGCTGGGTAATTCGCAGCAAAGGAATGAAAAGGAAATGGAGATGGGAATCGAAAGCAAAATGGAGGAGGGTAGGCAGGATGCAGAAGGAACACTAGGAACGCGAGAAATAGTAGAGATGGATATACAAGGACCATTTATTGTCAAGTGGGATAATCTTAAAGTGGAACGAGAAGAGAACAATGAGGAAGTGAGAGAAAGTTATGGAGCGTATGATAGATTGTTAAGGCCTTATTTTAATTGAGAAGCAAGATGTTAGTAGTTAAAACATGATATTATTTAATGAATCCAGTGAATTTCTAATAGCCTTGGGGTAATATTGTTTTTCATGTGAGGGGCATATTTTGTGAGATACTGGTTTATCGAACGACAATTTGTAAGAGGTGATGCGAGTTTTTAAATACTATTGCTATTGACTATTTTAGCTTCCATCCATCCCAATTCCCCATTTCCCCTCGCAATCGACAAGTGTATATTCTCAATAATTCAATTGTACAAATTAAAGTTAATTGTATACTATTTTATTCCATTGCTATTACTCTTTTCTTCTATTTGTATCTGTATTTGTGTTTACAGTTTTTTTTATGACAATCATTTTTGTATTTTCACATAGTCAGCAAAAAAGCTAAGCATGGTTATACCATGGTTATACCATGGTTATACCATTATTATTATCATTACGCAATCACCGACTTTTCTAATTTCATCCTGGTAAATTTCGTCCTTTGTTTCGTTGAACACCTTGCAAATCGCCTGTTTTGATTGTTGCTTACTACGAATTAAAAGAATTCGTATCTCAAGTTTCAGCGATTAACCCACGTGACAGGACACAGAGTGTAAACTTTATGTAATTGGTATCACATTATAATATGGGCTATGCTGTTCCCCCCGCAGTTCAAAAGTCGGAGATGAAAATAGCTTGTTCCGCAAATTGGCTACCTTGTATGACTAGTTATACGCATTTAGGATGTGATAATTGGTTTACGGGTGGTTACTAACAAATATGACATAACAAGGATTCGTTTGACAGAGATAATTAAGGTTATGACAAAAGCACCAATTGTCATGTTCAACTAAACAATAAATGATTCATGCCATGTCCTCCCTTATCTGCATACTCTGAATTTCGTACCCCTGTATATTGGGCCCACTTTAGAATATTGGCTTGGCGGTCCGTGAAAAATTATTGGTAAGCTTGCGTCTGTTCGATGGGAAAAAAAACCTATTTGAAATTTCTTTAAATTTAAGCTTTTCGGACTTTCACCTTAAGAGCTTTGGTCTACGAAAGAAACTCGGAAAAAAAATAAATAAAAATTGAAGGGACTGAAAGGGTTTATAGGGGATACTCAGTATTGTCCAGGTAACGATAGCTGCCATCGTAATAGCTTAATGAAGCCATGTGAATTAACCGCTGAACAAAGCTGCATAAAGCTGCATTGTGGTATACAGATATACATATAAATATGCATTATAATAATGAGACTAGGTCATTGTTTAAATGAATAATTCTCTCTTTGTTATTTCGGTTGCTTTTAGGAGACAGCACCATTTTATCTCATATAACTTTAAAAAAGAACCAAACACTATCTATACTGCATAACTCTGTTGAATAGCCGCCAACTATACATACACACAACACATATATCTATCTATCCACATAATTTTATACGCAACGCCAACCTTATCAAAAGAAAATGGCCACGTCAACGGCTTTAAAACACCAACCTTCTTTGTCCTCAACACAATCCACCACCAACACTAAATTTTCCTGCGACCCGCACGTATTGTACATACTCCAAGGCATAGTCCGTGACTTGCAGTTTCTATGCGACGGTGGCTATATCACCCGCATAGCTCTCGATGAGATAATAGACAAACTGCCAAAACCCGTAACTCACTTCATTCCCAATAATACACCAGCCGCATCCCCTTCTCCGTCTCCAGTAGGTATGCATAACATTCCAACAGAAATCAATACGCAAGTACCAGTTTCGAGGGCAAGCGTCAATTCGACATCAAATACGGATTCGCAGACCGATTCTCCATTAATGAAAGATGATGATTTTTACGATGTGGACGAGGAAATTATGAAGAGAAATGTAAGTGGGAGATATGAGGATGAGTCGGCAATTGCATACGGAAGTACTGGAGAGGAAGCAAGTTTTGTGGACGGGAGGATGGAATATATGAGAGAAGCGGAAGAGAGGTCCTTGAGATCACTGGCATCGACAACGGACCACGAAGCTATTACTAACCAGAGCGATATCACATCACAATCGTCTCATAATCGTCATATAATGCGATCACCAGCACCATCGACAACATCATCACATGTAGTAGTTAATACTAATGCACATCCCCATCCCGTCAACGACATGTATCCTAATTCTAGTGCGTCTAGCCCTACAGAAACTTATGCCCCGTCACGTACTACGGCAATTTCTAGCTTGGCGTTGCCTCCTCCAGCAGGTGATACGCCAATGCCACAACGTGGACAGTCGCAAAACGGACAAGTTCAACCGCATTCGCAACAACCAAGATCAAGGAGAGCATCATCAGTAGCCGCACCGGCTTATTTAGCTATCGTCGAGGCATTATGGGAATTTGCTGGTAAAGTGGTTTGGATTAGATCGGATTAGATTGGATTAGATTGGATTACATTGAGGAGAGGAAAAAGAAATTTCCTTTTTCCCCACCTTGTTTTATTTTGCATGAGCGATGATATTGCAAGGTCGTTTGTAATGGTAAATGTACAACAATGGAATTGATACTATTCTTTTTGTTGTCATTATAAAACTATCATCATCGCTCATTCATAATTGTGTGTTTGTTTGGAGTATTTTGTGCAATAATTGACTCAACTAACAAGATTTCGGATAGCAGATGATGACGGTGATCTGACATTCAGAAAAGGAGACGTATTGGAAATCAACGAATTCGGTAAATATAATATTATTAGCCGGGGAAATGTGTAACAGCGGATGAGGCAATTGGGACAATAGAGTATTCAGGCGTTGTCGATAAGCTTCGATTGTTGTTTTGCTTCGGGGATGACAAATACTAATCCTTATCTTCTCATCAGTTAACTCTGATTGGTGGCGAGGTCGCTGTCTACGGACAGGAAAGATGGGAATCTTTCCAAGGGTATACGCCAGAATATTGTAAGTCGTTTATCCTAATAAGTTAATGATCAGTCATGCATAAGACACATTAAACATTACTAATACTATTTCGTCCTCACGTGGGACTAATTTCACAAATTTAGACACATGAACCAGCCGGGTTCGTCGTTCCATCAGACATCGAATGCATATTACACAACAAGACCACAAGCCCAACAACCATCGGCATATTCATCACCACAAAATGTTCAAGTGTAATTACCGTAGTTGTTGCCACTATATATGTCAAAAACTCTCACTTTGTAAGATTTTATAAATACGGGTATGTTGCGTCTATCATAGTTGTAGACACGACATCGAGAACTCACCTTATTAATAAGTTTGTGGATGGAACCAACCTTCTTTTTTTGTCTTGTCTTTAAAAATGATTGATTATATGAGTCTTGTATTAATTAGGTGGTTTTGTTGGTTATTAATTTATTTATGAATCCAAAGACATTGCAGTATAGACTCTTAGAACCAAGTCACAATTGACTATTAATCATTCTTTTCTTTTACACCAAAAAATAAAACTATAATTAAATCGCGAGTGGAACAACGTACTACACATGCTCCAATGAAATGATTTGTGTTATATTAAATATGCACACCGATTAATATTACACTTCCGTGACGTCATCAATATAGACACAGGAGGAGCAACTAAAATACAAAAGTTTGAATATATGAATAGTTAACCTGCCACCTTTTTGATCCTGCAGACCATACAAGTCACCGTGGGTTCGACTTAGAGAACGAAAGTATACTTGTATGCATTACCCGTGTTCTGTGCTATCCACAACATAATCGAACTATACCGAATGAAACGTGATGATGTGGGTTATTATGACACGTGGTCGTCTCAATGCGTTTATACGATGTAAGCCTTACTTACCTTAGGAATATTGACCACGATTGTATGACGATCGCAATGCCAATGTACAACTCGGGCATGTGTATACCTGGGATAAGATATTTATACACAAGAATAGCCTACAAGATGAACGAACATGAGTGTAAACAAGGTTACAGGCATATATGTATATGGATGACACAAATTGCAGATACTGACAGTCGATCCACAGACACCACACGCCATCATGAAGAATCCAATAAATAACAGAAGACGCGCTTTCCAGAGTGTAAGCCTCGATCGTGTATACAAGTACTCGTGTTCCGAAAGACAGCTTTTGTCAAGGGAGTTTACGCTGTAATGAAATGAGAAAAATTATTACATTACAAATACTATCAGGTAATTCTATTGCTATTGTTGTCAATGTGGTCATCATTATCATTTCCGTATTATGAATTCTAACACACTCTTCCCCTAAATCCAACATTTCTTAAAAAGAGAATTCTCAAATATCTCCACCTTTGCAGCATCTCTAATCTATATACTTACATAATCATTCCAATAGTAGCGATAACACCGTTAAACCAGTCTTCGAACCTGATGCTCACATCCAATTCTGATGTAGTAGAGTATATTATTGAATCGATAAACACTACCCAACCTATCGCAAACTATAAATATGTAGGGAAGAGCAAAGGTGATGGAGAATATGTGTGAGAGGATGGAGAAATATGTGTAATGAGAATGATGGTTGGAAAGAGCGTAGTCTAATATAAAATGAAGTCATATATGGTATGTGCATTTTTATGGTTATCGTCTGCAGTGAATGACATTATACATTATGTATGGACAATCTCATTTTGCATTCGCTTCTATCACATATCTTACTTTTGCTTACCAGACATCCAGATATATATACACCAATATCTTTTAATCGAGGCGTAGGAATGCACCCAAACTGACGACCACCATCAAAGTCATAAGTCCAGCGGTGTGAAGTAAGCGGAACGTTTTGGATGGTTGTTGTTGGGGGCATTCTTGCGGGCGTGCGAGTGGAAATGGTGACTATGCAGGCCCGGCGAGTTGTAACTTATAGTCCCAGTATTGTCTGCGGGCTGAGGTAAGAGGCTATTTTTGATTACTCTATGCACTGTAATATGCAGGCGCTTTGCAGTCTTTGTTTGCTGATATGGTTTACTTACTGGCCTTTGTATGGTCAATTGTTTGTGAGTTGTCCTCCTTGTGCGTTTCGGACGTTTCAGTGGAAATTTTTCTTCCCTTCTGTTTAGAGATATTAATATACCAAGGAAGCTCGTGAAAAGAATCGAGATGTTGATGTAGAATGCGGCCTCCCTCATGATAATAACGTGTATAAATAATAGTACTTAATCGTTATTGTATAAATTATGGTGCCTGACTAGTTGTAGTCTTGTGATTTAACGCCACATAAGCCACGATAGGTCATTGGTCAAGGGAATTGATTATCAGAAAATATCTTATCACCCAAACACGTGGGAAAAACAGCGTGCTAGTCTGGCAATGCTATTGATTTACTTTTTTTGTTGAATTCCTAACATAATAAGAGGTTTGCTGTTTCGCTGAAACAACTAATCAATTTTATAGGAACTAATTGTCATAAACACAACTCTCCCGGACAGTATAATGTCTTAGCGTTAATATTATTAATTACCGATTGAAATGGCGTAGCAAGTTCAAATAGAATAAATCTATTTTATATTTTATCCTATGTACACCCTCTGTAAACGCGCAGCCTCTCTAAATACATCATTGCCATGATCACTTTAGTGATAAATGCACGCCCACGTGAACGAATTTTGCGGTTCTGTTAATAACAATAATATCCGTTAATGCCGCACGTGACCTATATTTAATTGACCAATTGTATTATTAATACGCTCTTTGTTCATGGTTGTTGTTGTTAGAGCGTCTTAGAATGTTAATAGAAACCTTATGTTATCGTCATTTTCGAATTATCGAATGAAATCTTCGTTCTTTTCGCTTGGTTGATTATTAGATGACAGCACAGAGGTAGCTATTGTCACTGTATTAAAAAGTTTAAAAAATCTAGCCTGTTTTACTGCAACAAGAGAATACAAGCGAACAGATAATACTGTTGAGATAAAAGAAAATTGAAACAAAAAATACATATTATAAATAATAAATATATAAATTTTTTCTTGTGTTATAAATACACACCCTTTCTAAATGCACATCCTGGAGGGTGTGCAATTAGAGAGGTCTCTGTATGTCAGTATTTGTCAATAAAATTGAATGCTCTTACTTGTTTTCTTCATATTAAATACTTTGTGCCCTACCAGCTGTAAACAATTTGTAACTTATTAACTGTCTTGTTCTTAATTATGGTATTTCATGACTAGAAGTAATGTCAGATCGTATTAATTTCTGGCAGTATAGTATTTGACTCTAAACAAATCTACCAGAAGAACTGGATTTCTTTATTTCAAGGATAAAATATAAACAAATTTTGTAGAAAAAATAAGGATATGTTTTATATTACATGAATATATATAGCAAATAAACACACTCGATCTCTTAGAAACCAAGTTTCCGTCTGTGACTATTTTCCTCTGCTCGAAAATATACTCTTCCATAAGATCAACGAATTGATAACGACACGCCGTATCCACAGTAGCAAAACACTGACACGTTGATACATTGGCACGTATCCAAAAGTAACTCAGAAAATGTGTCGTTATAAATTTATTTATATAGCCAATAGATTAATAATATTTTTAGTAAAACACGAATATTATAATGTCGATAGTTAATGCTAATGTTTGAATTATGTCCGGTATAAGCCATTCGAACCACGGGCAACAAGTCTTTGGATTTATTTTATTACGGAATCATTTTTAATACAAAGAATAAATATACAATAGATCCCCTACTCTTTATTGACTAAAATGACTATGGATGCACGCATATAGCAGAACTGACAACGAATTGATAGACAAACACTCAGTTGTTTATTATTATACGTGTAAGCAATGCAAATGTTATTACTAACTTGACGCGTTTAAAACAAAATATCTTGTAAGACTATACATATAATGCCTGTATTTGAATAAATGATTTACATGTATCATTACAATTGGGGCATGCTGCAACAAAACCTGACAAAGTGAACATTCCATTATGTGGCATAAATGAGAAGCTGGTGTGGCTGAAAATCAATAATTTGACTAATGGCATTTTGGCTGTGACTTGTTAATGGAAAAAAATAAATATGAACCTAATTTACATCAAATCCATTATGAAACCAAAAAATTACAGCACCATTAGAAGCATTTTAAAGAAAACTCAAGGAGAAAAAATTACTCCCTACGTTTTTAAAATCAATGTTATCCAAACTCTCCAGGAATATCTAGATAAAGAAAAAATCACTTATGAAATTTACCATGATACGGACCTTGAAGGGGATGATATTCCGGTCGTCCTATACGGCATTGTGACAAATGGGCGCGAATGAATGTTCCTCCGTTGGGCCGGCAGCTCTTCAAAGCCAACAGTTGAGCTCACACCACACGTAACTGTCCCCTTGGCTGACGACTTGAGTAAGGCAAAGGCCATTCTTAACAACATCGTTGAGATGCTTGAATCACAGATCTGTGGCTTGACTGACTCCGGCAAGAGAATCCGAATCAAGAAGCGTCGTTTGATCTAGGGATTATATCACGCGCGTGAATACAGGTAGCGTGAAAACATAGTCTATAAAGGTTTGTGGATAGCTCAGTTGGTTTTAGAGTTATTAATTTTTAAAAAACCACGGGTATTGGAATTAGCGCTTGTCATAGCTATAACGCCAGCAAATTTCGTAATACACAGGCAAACTCGATAAGTCGGTCTCTCGATGATTCAATTTTGGCCTAAGAAGGCCAAAACTTCCCAAGCCTTTTTCTCAGTTTTAATATTTAAAATCTCTCGATAAGTCGGTTCTCTCGATAAGTCGGTCCATGATACATGACCGACTTATCGAGTTTGCCTGTGTATTTTAATTAGCAACCATACAAAACTTGCATAGAGCGTGTCTTAATGCAACCAAGATTGGTGGCAAAAATCGAAGAGACAAGAACTGGGAAGTTAGAAATTGAAAAATATATCTATATCATGTACACAAGGAATTTACCCGCGTGGCCAGACATCGCGTGCCTGTAGCTCAAATCATTTGCCGATGGGCAATATTGGACATTTCACGCGATGTACGTGTATTTATATAAAAGAAAGGCCTCCACATAGAGATGAGTATAAGACACTTATTCCAACAACACCACCTCACAAATTGATGATATATGTCATTCCAGACCTGAAACAAGTAAGGCCCATTTATTCAAAACAACACATGTGGTGAATGTCTAAAAACAAATTGCTAAGCTGTATTCAGATATTTATCAGACAATTCGTTTCAAGATACCATCGAAACTTGTATACTATATCAATAGTAGTATCTCCATTGGAAGACACGCATTGATTTCGGAATTTAGCAACAAGCCGATGAAAAGACGAAAAGTAGTCATAAAGACCAAATGTTGGTCATTTAATCAAGTTGAATCGCCATCCTCATTTAACCCAGGATCATTGCCCCCATCCCCCTTCAATGACCCCCTCTATCAAAAGTCATACTTTGCTATCTTTTATTTCGTATCATAGCCTACGCACTTTGGATGGTCGACAACCGTTAAATGGAATAGGAGTAGCATCTGTAATCCGTTTTATCGACCATGAATTTTCCGGACTAGCCAAAGCCTTGAAGGCAGCCTCTCGTCCTTGCCCAATTCCTTTTAATACCAATTCGATTTCGCTTATCCTGAGTCTCTTTTCTTTTGCGGTTGTTATCACTGCCATTGCAGCTTGATGAGCAGCTTCGTAGCCACCTCTTTCTGCCTTTTTAAATCCGACAGCCCCGCCACTTTTGGTACACACTACTTGTCCATGATGATCTGCCAACGTGACGATAGTATTATTCAAACTAGAATTAATGTATATTTTGTACATGGGAGATGTGTGAACGAGCATGTCTTTGAGAAGTCGAGATACATCAGCAGTTGTTTGTCTGTCGACCTGAGATGGTTCTGAACTGTCTCCTGAACTAGCAAGGTAATAGTCCGCACCATCTCGTTGTTGGCGGGATTTCGCTAATACATCGAGAAGACCACCTATTCCCCGATCCATTGATGATGTTTCGCCAGACAATTGGGAGAGGAGGTTGTCCGTATCCGGCGTCTTGGTTGCTGAAGTTGTCGTAGTTGTTGTATCTGTGGAAGGTTCATCGTTCGCTGGTGAGTCATCGCTATCAGATTTGGAGGAGAGTTGGCATACCTGCAGCCTTATTAAGGGACGAGTAATGGGTCTGCGTAAAAGATACATAGGCGAGAAATGATCAAAATTTTCAGTAACGTGATTTGGAATTTATATATAGACATATTATCATTATAGCTTTGTTTAACTACTTCCTATATCATTGTTTGACTCTTACTTTGCATTTGTAACTTTCTTGAATACTGGATTATTTAACCAATATACTGTAACGCCGGAAAAAAAAATATTGTCATGCGGTGAAGCATGTCCTAGATATTTAACTTTTAATATTTAATGGCAAGATTTCTTCTAATGTTTCTGCTTGATTAACAATAATTCCATGGTCGACAAAAAGATAATTTATAGCTTTAAAAAATTGAATTTGAGTAGTCATCATATGGTTATTTATTGTGTTGTTCAAGTCCGAAACAGCTACGTTATTTTTTATTACAGGAAGCTACATTATTACGTCTAAATAATTAATTAAATAAATCCACACGAATTATTCCACATCACTCCATCTTCTCAATCACAACCTCATGCGAAAACAACTCCTTGGTCACTTCGCATCCAAATCTGACTATTTCTTTTTCATCTTCTTTGTCCAAGATCTCTCCATCTTTCACAAACTGTTGCAAAAAGAATTTAATTCCCTGAATTAGGATGGGATTATTTAGGATGTCTGTAAACGCTTCGACGATCAAGGTAGGATCGCGAGAAGAATGATTGTATGTCAAAGATTGAGATAGAAGAAAAATGTCTGTGAAAAGGAGCTGGAAGAACAGAACTGTTCGCGGTTGAAGGCGTGTAAAGGTTACCGTCTGCACAAGAAAAAGTTCGATTGGGGTGGGATGATTTCAGAATCAATTCGTTGATAAAGCAACAGACAAACATAGTATATTTTCTTTTCCGTTTGCTCACCTTCAAAACCCTCATTGATATTCCCTTTTTGACGATTAACCAAGCATATAACTTTGCAACATTGACCACTCTCCTCACATCCACTTTTGCTTGTTCTCCGCCGCCTTTGCTCTTCTTCAACAACTCCATGCCTCCAACATCAGTCTCTCCGCACTCACGCAGGAAGTCCCAAAGACAATATTGGAAAGTTATTTTGTGGCTATGGGAGTGCATGCAAAGCCGGTGTGATAGTAAAGAATAGTAAGGATTGTGGGTCTTTTCCTATTTAATCGTACACCATGAGTAAATTTACAGGTTTGTCAGAGGTTTAGACGTTCAAAAATTGGACAAACAATACGTTAACATTTTATCCAATACTCACATTACCGCAACAATGTAAAATAACCCTGGGTATTTCTCTTTCCTGAACGTCCTTCAAATTCAGTTTCATCAATCTCTCGAATGCATCAACGTAATCTTCGCTACTCAACAGCACGACAAAAATGCACCTCCTGACGTCGGTGTTCATTTTTTGTTTTCTTGCGAGCGCTAGTAATGACTCATTAGCGGAATGGATGGTTGAATCCATGGATGGCGTTGTAGGAGGATTTTTATCAGAGGTTGTTATCCAAGACGCGCCCACTAGCCACCATTTGCCTTTATTTGGGAAAATAAAAGCGAGATATAAAGTTTAGTAATCAGAGACAGAAGGAGGCTAATTGTATAAAGAGAAGAAAGCATAGTACCTTTAGTTTCAACGTTGCGTATATCTTCCAGTGACACCCTCAATGGCTCGGTAGCTTGTACTAATAGGGAGAGTTATTAAGATCATCACTCCAAGAAAGTCCTACAAAAATACCCATTAAGCTTACCTTGCCATCTCTTATTCATATTCCCCAGAAACTTTTTCAATCTAATCACGACTTCTACGTTGCCTGAATGATTTTGCTTTATTCTATTATTCTTGAGATTTACAATTGTTTCCAGCATGAACCTTGCGCGAGATCTGAATGGAGAAATTGAGGGTGAAAAGATGCACTCGGTGATGAAACATGAAAGAATCATACAAATGAACTTATAGATTTATAACAATATTCATTATATTTATAATATATTCCCCTATAACAAAAGATGCAAATAAGCATACGTTAGCCTTTGAGGATCAGTTTTGGCCATAACAGTCTGAATCAACTGGATGATCTCCTTCAGTGCGCTTGGGTCGTCTTGTCTAAGTTGTGATCCAGAGTCTATAAAGAAAGTCTTATTTAGTTCCTCATATGTATATTCCACGAAACGTCACTTCAACTTACTTCTCAAAACTTTCAATAAAAGTTCAACATTCAGTTCATTCATCTCTTTGCAAAATGACCTTATCAAGTCATACATTAAGACACATGAAACCACTTGAAAATTATAGAGTTCTACGGTAAGCGTTACTAAATTTATCGGTTCCTTTGTGGACGTTGAATTGTCGTCTGGCATAGCAGAGGATGAATTATCGTAATATCTAGTAAAGTCTGATACTAGTTCTTGGACTACATGTGCGCCTGGGTAGAACAAATGTATGATTGTTAACAGATAACCAAAATAAATGCTTTCTTTTGGACCGGACTATTAAATATTTACATAACAGACTCACAAAAATCAATTCCAATGATCTTGTATAATCCAGCTACCAACGCTGCATATGTAATCACAAACTGATCGATTAGGCCAGACTTTTGTGATATCGTGTTCAAAATCAGCGTTGACAAAGTGGCGGTTACATCTGTAGCAACGCAATAAGATTAATAACTTTCCCCTTCATCGATAATGACCGTATCAAACACTAGTTTCTTACCATGGCGTGGAAACTTCCAATATAATTCTTCTATAGACGACAAAATTACCTCAATATTTTGTTCGCTCAGTCTAATAGACAAAGCAAGTAGAGTCATCAAAGGCTGAGATACGATTATGGTCAATGCTAATGAAAAAGTCTTCATAATACAAGACTTTCGAATTAACTTTTGGATTACCGATTAAGTAAACCTAATATATGCTTTTGTAATCTTGACAGCTGTTCCCTACGTTCACCGTCATCTTCCGCTGCCTTTGCGCGGAGGTGAGGAGGAATATATTTTTCTAGAATTTAAAGTAAAAAGACCGATGTCAGGCGAGATCTAGAAAGTTAGCACGTGGCAACAAGAGAAACTTACTGTCAACATCCGCCGACCTAGAATGCTTTTCAACTTCGGTACTGGACTTTGAGTTGTAGTCATAATCTTCGGTGTCGCTCAGATCTTCATTTTCATCACCGTCGTCTTCATCCTGATCCTCATCGTCATAGTCTCCCATATCTTCCTCAAATTCATCTTCTTCCTCTCCCTCACTCTCCACGTCGTCTTCCGAATCATGTTCTACAACTTTTCTACTTTCTTTCCTGGTGCCTGCCTTCTTTGATAGTCCTTCCCGCATTATCCTCTTTGATCCTATGCTTATTCCATCGAGCAACTCTGTAACAACGGTCACGTATTAATTATTAATCATATGCAACAACCCGGTTTTTCGCGATAAGACAATCCAAAAATACACAAACCATCGAGACCGTCATCCACAAAAGCCTTGGGAAGTTTTCCATTCTTGTTCCAGTTTCCATTCTTATTCAATCTTAGTTTTTTCTCTAACCATTTCATCTCCTTTGCTTCTCTATCATCCAATCTGATCTTGTTGTGATCGTTCTGTTCATTATTTTTGTTTGTTGACGTATTCCTGGTCTCGGGTTTCTTGGATGATACAGACTCGTCATTTCTTTCATCCTTGTTATTGATCTTCCTTCTCTTTGCCGTGTGAATTTTACCATTTTGTGTGCCATTACTATTAAGTACGACAGGAACTCCCTTACGTTTCTTTTCTAATCGTTGTAGTTTTCGCTTTTCCTTTCGATTTTTGGCTCGATTCTTAAATTTTTTCTCGAATTTCCTATCATCAATGTCTTCAAGAAGTTTTACTAGGTAAAGATCTAGAAAATAGTCGCTATTTCTTCAGCATATTGCAGTACGCTTACCATTAACTTCTAGTTCTTCTCTAATGGAATCAGGGAGAATGGGACCATTTTGCCTGTGTTTTTCAGAATTGTCTCGTGGCATTTGTGAGTGGCAAAATTTTTTTCATAATTTAGATTATCCACAAATTTAATTCATTGGGACTCTTTATTGGCTAAAAATTCCGAGCTGCGTTAGTATTAGACACGTCTAAAACGTTTCTTGTCATACCACACTTTTTATGTTGCTCTCAATAGGATGGATGAATTACATCTGGAAGAACGGTGACATTGACATTGAGAGTTAGTTCTTATTTAAACTACTAAGTAATTTCTGTTTGCACATGCTTGGCCTCGATATATTGCTAGTTGCTTTCGATCCACGCGTTTATTCTGTATGCATCACAGTTTGTATCGATTTTAATACATAGGCGTGCTTTACAATAAGAGACAAAGACAACATACAGACGTCGCTGCTGCCTCTCCGAAATTTTCTACTTCATCTTCCTTCCCCTCACTCTCTTCTCTAATTTCTCCCTTCTGCATTTCTGTAGTAACCGATTGTTCGGGCCTCTTGTAATGTCGTTTTCTGATTAGGATCTGTAATTCTTGCTAGTAACAAAAGTAAGGCGCTCTTTTTGACAATACGTTATTACAACTCAAAGTATTCTCTTGTTTACAGTATTTAATGTTAAACGTTGTACCAATCTAAAGTATTCTTCTTCGTACCTACTTATTGATTACAGTTGGCAATGTTAATATGCAACTCTATCTGTAAAATTATTTGGCATTCCCGCTTACGTTTCCCAAGACGCAAAGACGAAAAGTTTAGCTCATAGAGGGTGGGGTCAATTACTTGTGTCAATCGTTGCCGAGTGAATAATATTTGAGCTTCTCTGTGTCGTTAACATACAGTATTTAAGCGAGGGTCAGGTACTAACAGAATAGGAACAGTTGAACAATTGTTAATTATTTTATTAAGAGTTCAACACCAAGAACTTAGTCAAATTTCCTGGTTGACTTATATACGTGTTATGAATGTCCACAGTAGAATGAGCAATATTTTTATAAGAAAGAACAAATATAATGTGAAGTTTATTGTCTGCACAGTTTGTATTGTTAGATTGGCTACGAAAAACATGCAAGCATCCAAATTATTCGTGTAACTGGACGTTAAAATAAGATGATTGTCGGTGAAATTGCAGCCTAGTGATGCATGACCCACTGCCGAAAATGCGTTACGAGTTTGCGTCTCAATATCACAAAATTAAGAAACAGTTCAAAATTGGGCTCCCATCTCTTTTATAAACGTTAGTTGAACTACATCACTGAAAGGGGCGTGTTGTGTTCATGAATTGTAATGCGTAATGTTATAAGGGGTGGGTTAAGTTGAGATGCCCTTAATAATAATAGATCTATTCAATACCAATTATTTTATAATAATATACGGTTTACAGTAGTATTCGAGAAAACGAGTATCCCATACTAATATATAGCTGCACAACCTAATTGGTTGGGATTCAAATAAAAATTAAAAAACCGAAGAAACTCGTACGCGAACACTAGTTACCATATACAAACAAAATTCTAACAACTTGTGTAGATGTCAGGGAAATGATAGCAATCAATGTTTCAGACAGTGAAAGTGATGTCAGTGGTAATTATTACTTTTTCACTTTCTAATATTATGTATTTAATAATTATTTTATTCTTAATCTTCTTCTAATAATCTTCTGGACTATAAGAAACCCTTTTTGAAATGCCTAGAGCTGATTGGTGTACACAAGGAGTTCAGAGACGTGCGTGGCTTGTGGCCAAATTGCTGCCAAATTAGTTGGAGACTGTTTACCTTGTTCGAGCAAACGTGAGGATAGGCAAATAAATAAGGGTTATTACGCTGTATCCATTTGCAGGCATAACGTAATGATGGATGGTACCAGCGAACAAATCTGCTTGTTGTAAGAAAATGCCTAGCATGCCCGAATATAGAATTAATGCTCTTTTATTTTTAGAATATCCCATTTAGCGTTAGGGTTCGATATTCGACAAATGGATTAGCTCCTGCAGACCAAACTGGTGTGAAGGTATACAGGTGAGAGATATTTTCTTTTCGCGTACGGAACGTCTTCGATACATGCAGGTATTGAGGCAAGCCTACGACTCAGCTGACCATCAGGGTGAGACTTGCAACCACTGCATATCGCAATTTTTGTTGAATTATTTGGGGTGTGAAGTAAGCGGTGTTTCAGGAAAGAACAATTCGAAAGGATATCTAATAGTTTCATCCCTAATTATCCATTTTGTCGAATGAGGATATAGCAATCGCGAATAGTATGAGCATGGAATACACGGAAATTGTGCAAAGTCATTATTAGTAAGATGACTTAGAATTCTACATAATGCAGCGCAAGGACGCCAATATGAATAATTGTTAGTTTCTGGGAGTTTATTGTTGTTACTAGTGGATGATTCGTGTAAGGAAGAAGACATAGTATTGTTTGTGTAGGCCATGAATTATCATTCACATTCAAGACCGTTTTGTCTGCATCGAGAGAAAAGACATCGATAATATAAGACGTTTTAATTAAATTTTTCCAGTAGCAATGATTAAGGGAAGGTTTTTTAGTTTTGAAGAAAACGATCAATATATTGTGATCACATATATACAGTATATACGTATATGCATTAAATAAAAATTACATTTGATGAAGAAATAACAATTAAAAATCCTGGCGGTAATCCAAGCAACCTGCAAGCAATTTTTTTTTGTAGGGGAAAAAAAAAGTTGCGGCGAAGATAGTAAATAAGGCTTAAAATGTCATAGTGGTTATAATCAATGTGTTTGTTAGATTATTATTATTGCAGAACGTGGTAGAATACGGGTCCGTATTATTTCACCGACAATCATTTCACCGTAGTATTTATTGCAGTATATCATTACTTTATCCCTTCCCAATTATGCTTTGTATTATACTTTATCTTTATTTACTTTCATCAAAAAGAGAAAAATTTATGGAGTTGTTAATAAAAATAAAATGCTGCGGCACATCTGTTTATTTCTTATAAATAGACGCATGGTACTGGACATAACAGTATACAGTATATAAAATTGGTCGCATAAATTTTCCAAAAATCTTACCAGAAAAGGTAATAGAAGGTTAGTGCGGAATATTGATTTGGGAAAAGATGTTTGTAAACGACGAATGAAAATATATAATCGACATATAAGGTTAAGATTGTGCATCAAGTGATGAAGGCGAAAATTTACTATACGGTAATATCAAACAACCTCACTATATATGCCGACCAAACCATTATTAATACAAGGGTTGACTATAAAATGTTATTTAACACGAGAAATAATTCGCGTTACATGTGAACAACCAGATAAATTAGTATGGTGGTAGTTATTGTCAAAAACTTGGTGAATAATTGCACCTGAGTTTGAGTACTGGACGAATTGAGAAGAGGACTAGTGGTAGCACTAGTAGTGCTGCTCGTACTGCTACTGCTACTGCTACTGCTTGGAGGGGGAATGGTAGTGATAGGCGGAGGAGAAGAAGGAGACAGAGGAGAAGAAGAAGACGGAGGAGGAGGAGAAGGGGTAGTAGGAGGAGGGGGAATGGTAGTGATAGGCGGAGGAGGGGAAGGAGTGCTACACTGATTATTAGGAATACATTGCGTGCCATCAGGACAACATCCACCTTGCTGATCTTGACATGGAAAATATCCAATGTCGCACGCAGAAGGAGGACTACACTGATTATTAGGAATACATTGCGTGCCATCAGGACAACATCCACCTTGCTGATCTTGACATGGAAAATATCCAATGTCGCACGCAGAAGGAGGACTACACTGATTATTAGGAATACATTGCGTGCCATCAGGACAACATCCACCTTGCTGATCTTGGCATGGAAAATATCCAATGTCGCACGCAGAAGGAGGAGGACTACACTGATTATTAGGAATACATTGTGTGCCATCAGGACAACATCCACCTTGCTGATCTTGACACGGAAAATATCCAATGTCGCACGCAGAAGGAGGAGGAGGAGTACCAGGATTACAATAAAAGTCAGGTGTGCAAACTTGGTCAGGGAAGCAGCAACCATCACCACAAGGTATATCTTTGGCAGTACATGGAATGTTGCAGCTTTGACTGTTAGGTACACATGTCGCAAGTGTAGGGCAACATCCATTGCTATTTGGACACGGAACGTATGTTGGATCGGTGCAGGCACTAGCGTTTGCCAATAGAGATAATCCAGCATATTTGCTATTAAGCTTCCTTGCTTCAAGATATGCGGTATTAGATCTACCTTGTAGCCGAGAATTTGTGGTGGCAGGTTTAAATTGCAGCCGAGAATTCGTGGTGGGAGGTTTAACTAGCAGCCGAGAATTCGTGATGTCAGATTTACTTTGCAGCCGAGGTGATGTAGCATAAGCATAAGTTACGGCAGCGAGAATGAGTATCAAAGTGAGATACTTCATATTGAAGCTCGAGCAGGACTTGACACAAATCCTGATGCAAAATAATCGTGTCGGGACGCATTATTTAAACACTTACATCCTGTAGCGTTGTACTCTTTTTGTGATTACGCCCAATTGAATTCGCCTTTTCTGGCCAATGTAACGCCATATATGTTGAAACAAAAAGTTCTATGTTTAATATTATCATAAACTTAAGTTGACTTGTTGGCAAGATTGTAATAATTAGTTAAAAGCATCCAACTTGACAAGTTTCTAACGGACCTAATTATTTAACGGATAGCGGTGAAACGGTTGGTTGTATCGGTCGAGAATGCTAATGCTTGGTTCATTGACCATCCATATCTGCGTACTTAATAGACATTAACGCCAAGATGTAGAATGAAACCATATACAGTATATTAACAAAGATCTGTCTGCTTTGTCTATCAATAGATATGTGGAACAATGATCTGCGAAGAGATCTTACGTTATCTTAGAAGACGCAACGCGATGCATACGATTACTTCACTTTGTTCAATTGCTGAACAATTAAAAACAAAGCATATTGATTCTCCAAAAATTGTTATGCGTTGACAGGAAAGACAAGAAAAGCTTTGGCGCACTACGATAGATTATCGCAATCGCAATGTTTGTTTTAAAAAGGCTTCATTCATGTTGTATGAATTCTACTATTTTGTATTGTCCAAGGCGATCAAATACTCGTTTTAATGTTAAACAGAGTTAGTGATCATGTTTCATGGTAAGAGCCTAAGAGCTATATAGCCGGCCGCGAACTAAGAAAAAGGGGTTTATTTACGAAAGTATAGTAATACGGCAGTTAGTGTTGATGTTGTTTTTTTTTGGATAGAAAAAGAATGGCCCCGCTTTTGGCAGCATGGCACTAACCAAATTTATACCGATGCCTTCCAAATTTGGCGACTACGTCACGATTTGTATATGTTGTATATAATTTGCGTCACTATATAATTCCCGGAATTATATATATAATTGGTGGTACGCAATTTATATAT